GAGAACCTCTGAGTTACGTGCACGAGAGTCGAGGCTGGAGCGTTCCCAACGTCTTTATGAACAAAATGTAAGGACCTCTGACTTACGCGAACGAGAGTCGAGTGTCGAGCGTTCGCAACGCCTTGCCGTACAAAGCTTGAGAACCTCTGAGCTACGCGCTCAAGAGTCGAGGCTGGAGCGTTCCCAACGTCTTCATGAACAAAACGTAAGGACCTCTGACTTACGCGAACGAGAGTCGAGTGTCGAGCGTTCGCAACGCCTTGCCGTACAAAGCTTGAGAACCTCTGAGCTACGCGCTCAAGAGTCGAGCCTGGAGCTTTCCCAACGTCTTCATGAACAAAATATAAGGAACTCTCAGTTGCGCGAAAGAGAGTCGAGTGTCGAGCGCTTGCAGCGACTTAGAGCTCAGGCAGAGAGACAGCAGTTGTCCACAAATAGAGTTCGCAATCGAATTTTAGCTAACAGCAACCGACTGGCTTTCAGATATGATCCGCAGTTTGATTATGCACAACAAGCGTCCGTCCAAATCGGAGTCATGAATAAGATCTGCTCTAACTGCTCTGCCAAGAAATGGGCGGACGAACCTAATGGTATTTGCTGTGCTTCAGGTAAAGTTTTTTCTTCCTAACCTGCAGGAGCCGCCACAACCAATAAAAAATCTTTTGACTAATAACCATCCATTATCTGGGCATTTTTTAACATACATACGTAAATACAATAGTCTTTTTCAAATGACTTCGTTTGGCGCAAAAGAAATCAGGGAAGGAAATTTTATGCCCACTTTTAAAATTGAAGGACAAGTGTATCATCTAATTGGTAGCCTTTTACCACCATCAGGCCAAAACCCACAGTTCTTGCAAATATATTTTATTTCGGATGCAGACCAGTTATCGTTGCGATCAAGCATCGGACCAACCTTAAAAATGGATTTAATTCACGAATTACAGACCGCTTTAAATAATCATAACGTGTACATACGAAGTTTTAAACAAAACTTAGAACTTAACTCCTCAGATAATTTAAAGTTAATTACGTTACGTTAATTAGATACGGCAATCAGGGAAGATAGCGATTGCAGTTGCTTCGTCAGGAATTGCTGCAACTCTCTTGAACGAAGGAAAAACTGCTCACTCTACGTTTAAACTCCCGCTATCCGTATCTTTAGATCAACGGTCTACGTGCTCTATTCGGAAAAATGGGCCTCTTGGTAAGTTGCTGCAAGACGCGTCGTTGGTAATATGGGATGAATGCACCATGAGTCATAGAGCTCATGTGGAGGCCGTGGACCGTACTTTAAAAGACCTTCGAAGCTCTGCTAATGTCATGGGTGGTATCACTTTTGTATTTGCTGGAGATTTCCGACAAACGCTTCCTGTCGTCAACAGAGGTACGCGAGCAGATATTATAAAGGCATGTTTAAAATCGTCTCACCTTTGGACATCTGTTCAACATTTGAATTTGCGTACTAATATGAGAGCTCATCTACATGGAAATACGCATAGCAATTTTCCACAACAGCTGCTGAAACTGGGAGAAGGAATTTTTCCATCTTTAAATTTGGGCACCGATTATGCGGTTACTTTGGATGAGTCTCTGGGGCAAATGTCTATAATTTAGATAGTCTGATAGATGCTATATATCCTGACATCGAAAACTTACATCAAAATGATTTTCGTTGGCTGTGTTGTAGAGCAATAGTTTCTCCCAGGAATGAAACAGTCAACGAAATAAACAATTTAATTATGCAGAAAGTACCGGGTGAAGTTAAGTGCTATAAATCCATAGACACCGTCACTAACATCGAGGACGCAGTGCACTACCCCCAGGAATTTTTAAATTCTCTGAACCCCTCTGGGCTTCCACCTCATGAACTGTCCTTAAAAGTTGGCACGCCGATAATGCTTCTCAGAAATTTAAGACCCCCCAACATGTGTAATGGCACGAGACTTCTTATAAAGGAGCTAAAAGATAATTTAATAGTTGCGAAGATTATCACCGGCCCTGCAGCTGGTGAATTAGCTCATATACCAAGAATACCCATGATCCCTACTGATTTGCCTATACCCTTCAAAAAGGCTCCAATTTCCAGTAAAAATTTCTTTCGCACTCACGATAAACAAATCCCGGGGCCAAACATTCAAATTAGTAGGAATTGATTTACGAAAAGAATGTTTTACGCACGGGCAACTTTACGTTGCCCTATCACGGGTCGGGGCTCCCGACCATCAGTATATTTTGTTACCAGAAAATAATATAACGTCAAATGTTGTGTATAGAGAAGCTCTACAATAGTAGCTTAAGTTTTCTATCCTAAAACAACGGGTTGCACTCCGGGACTTAACAACTAACATCCACAGAAAGAAAATCTGTTCAGCCTGCGGATAGTGACTGCTTCGTCGATGTTAGTGTCGGTGTCTGTGAATTGACCTGGGAATCATTTTGTTTGCTGACCGTGTCTTTCCTGGGTAGGCTTTTTGCAGCGGTAACCGACATCCACGCGGGCGGAGCCGCGGGCGACCGCTAGTTTGTCATAACAGGTACGATAGTATAGAACTAGTTAAGATGATACAATACAGAGTACCAAATAGGCCATTGTGTCGCAGAGTTCGTGCCAAATACACATTTTTTACTAATAAATGTCGAACCAACGTAGGTAAAAGATCCCCTATATATATGTTGTTAAATTGTTATAATAATACTTTCAATAATATTGACATTTTTGCTCACAAGGTGGGTATTTATAAAAAATAATTACTTTCAGTACTCAGAGGAGAATGAGTTTGTATAATTGGTTATTACAATAATTATTATTTTTCTTTATTATTGTGTCATTTGAAAACACAATCACTGTATTATATGAAAAAAATTGTACGCTATTCTCAATCTAAACATTTGTTAACAGTAATTGGTGGTCAAGGGTTGCACTATTATATTATATTTTTGTAGTGAATGTATTTTAGATAAATAAATATTGTGTAAACTGTTTGTTGATTCTAATAAATTAAAAAAAACACTACAAGGCAAATATAGAGGATAATGTTTTAAATATCTACTATTTCTCATTTCTGGAGTAAAGAAAACAATTAACATGTTCACATACTTTAATATCACAATATTACATACATGTGCATTGTGCATATTACATTCTTACATAGTTACATTTTTCAGTCTGTTGTACATTTTTCTCAGTCTCTCGACATTACGAAAGAAAACAAGTTACACAAAGTTTTAGAAGACGTGGCAATAACTAATACCACAACAAACATAAAACAACGTAGGCTACGTAAGAAATATAGTTTGAAAAATGTTAAAACAATAGGTAATGACATCACCTTTAAAAGTTAATATAATGTGTTATGTCAAAAACAAAGTTGATCCAAAGATACTCCCGTCATTAATAACAAAATATTTTAAAACTATTACACACTTAAAAACTCCAATTTACTCATTGCAGACGTCTAAGGACTTGTATCATGTATCAAACAAAAAAATCAGCAACAATGCAATATACGCTCAATCTCCTTACATACATATTATATACAAGCATTCAAGCGTTCATCCGATCGCACACGTTTACTCAAATACTTAATCAAGCACACCAAATGTATCAGGATTATAAAAATTCGTCATTCACAAGCTGGAGTTTCAAATAACACAACATCAGACATCCTATAACATAAAGAAACAGTTTATTGACATCACAAATGTGAGAATTTCAGAGATTTCAAACATTCTTTCGATCAAAACACAAACAGTCCAAAAACATGTTGAATCACTTTACTAACACATTCACATTCACTAACACATTCACATTCACTAACACATTCACATTCACTAACACACTTCACAACAGTCCAAAAACATGTTGAATCACTTCACTAACACACTCCATTACACAGTATATTTATGGCATAGTAACTAGTTCGAAATAACTGTTCAAAAATTATAACCATCGATGGAAAATTATAATTTTATGTTACTAGTTTCTGAATACGAAAAATTACTTAACCTTGTTTTTGCTTGTCTGGAAATAACATACAATTTTTGATGCTTTATTTTGAAAGACGAAGATAAGACAGAAAGGAAAATGTGAGTTACATTTAAATATTTAATGTTTATGACAATTCAGATAACTTTACTATTTAGTGCCAGCCACTGTAAATTAAGGATAGTTTGGGGAAGTCAACATAAAATTTTAACTAATTAAATGGGCTGAAAATTTTGTCTACTTCACAAATATTTTAAATATTTTTTTGGTTGAGATATGTGATAGACATGAGATGTGACGCACTTTTTTAATATGTTATTATTTATTACATGATTAATCTGGACATTCCAGAATGAATAAAAGACGAAATAGGTGGGGTTAAAATATAGATGATAAACATTTAAAAAAGTGTGTAGATGGGTATAAATGTTTCATAATTCCCACAAATGAACAATGGACTTCCACCAAGATATAACAATCGTAGACATAAATTATTGGAAAACATTTAGTAGTAATGTTTTAGGTATTTTTACAGTCGATTTAGTCCTTGCATACACATGTTCAACCTTTTATAAAAATGATAGGTGAAGAAATATGTTTTATTCTTTACAAGAATAATTATTTCTATTTATTAGCATGAGTGCAAACTGATTACAATTTCATTTTGTATTTCAGAAAATATCTATAAATTGTTCTCGGCCTGGTGCTCCTATTTCTTAATATCGAATGAAAAAGGTTAGGTTAAAATTACAACTGAATAATAACTGAAGCCTGTAAATAACACAGAAAATGACAACAAATTATAAATGTTATACATTTTTAGTTGCGTTTAAATATATACTAAAAAAAGCATTATAAAAGCTGTTATATATATAAAATACAAATGTTATTGCTTATAATAACTGAATGCAAATGTAAAGTTTTCGGAACACAAAATTGAATAAATGTCGTACATTTTCAACTTTATTTATCAAATATATAATAACGGCAATTCCGTATAAAATCCCGTAGATCAACATATCTGGACGCTGTAAGTGTTAAGATACATCTGAAGGGCGTGTCGGTGCGGAGGCTCCAATGCGGCTATTCTAGGAGGCAGCAAATCCGGCCACTGACGAGACATGTTGCCTAAACTCTCTGCCAAGTAGCGCTTGGGATCTTCAATGGCTGGATATTAATTTCAATGACATATCATTAATAAAGACTTATGTTTAAAAACTTTAACCAAATGATTTCATAATGTATCAACCCCACAGAGCAATACAGGCCACATGCGGAATGGACGGGTGTAGCCTTATGCAGGCGTTCCTCTTTCTTAAAACACAAGTTCATGCGGTCCTATGTGTACAATAAAACAAGTTGCAGCCACACTACGCACTAGACTAAACCTAGTTTAACCTACAACAATGCCTTCACGTTCAAAAAATTTGCAAATAGTGATCTGCCACGTTACGAGGGTGGATTGAAAAGTACTCGGCCTAACACAGATCCATTCAATTCTAAAAATCAAATCTACCCACATTATTTAGTTCAGTTCAGACTAGTTCATTGTGTGAAGTTCGAAACGTGTGCGATAATTAGTTGTGATTTTATAAATTTATTAACAAAGTAATCGGACATAATTTCCGCGAATGGAGCAAATCGAGCAGCGTGCCGTCATTAAGTACCTCCATAAGAAGGGGCTATCATCAAAAGCCATCCATGATGACATGGTCAGTACATTAGGCGATTGTGCTCTGTCATATTCATCCGTCAAAAAATGGATAGCAGAATTTAAGCGTGGTAGAGAGAGTGTGAAAGATGAACCCCGCTCTGGAAGGCCTTCGACGTCAACTACTGACGAAAATATTAAAAAAGTACTTGATTTAATAATGGGAGACCGCAGATTAAAAATTAGAGAGATAGCCGAGATTATAGGCATCTCTTATGAACGAACTCAAAACATCATTGTCAACGAGTTGGGTTTCCACAAGGTGTCTGCGAGGTGGGTTCCGCGACTGCTTTCAGTTGAACAAAAAAGGACGCGATTGACTATTTCACGCGACTGTTTGGAGTTATTTGAAGCCGATGCAGATGATTTTTTGAATCGTTTTGTTACTATGGACGAAACATGGGTTCATTACTGTACACCGGAAACAAAACAACAATCAAAACAGTGGAGAAGACCTGGTTCACCACCCCCTAAAAAGGCTAAGTCGATTTTGTCGGCAAATAAGGTGATGGCTTCAGTATTCTGGGACTCGAAAGGTGTGATTATGATTGATTATCTTGAAAGGGGTCAGACTATAAACTCTGATTACTACTGCACCTTACTACGTCGTTTACGAGAGGAAATAAAAGAAAAACGTCGAGGAATGCTAAGAAAAGTCCTGTTTCATCAAGATAACGCCCGTGTTCACACGTCAGTACAATGGCTGAAATTCACAACTGTGGCTTTGAACTGTTACCGCATCCGCCGTATTCACCTAATCTGGCACCATCAGACTTCTTTCTGTTCCCTAACCTAAAAAAGCACTTGGGAGGTCAAAGATTTTCGACAAACGACGAGGTCAAAGCAGCTGTAGACGCATATTTTGACTCTAAGGAAGAATCATTTTTTTTCAACGGTCTAAACGCTTGGAAGGGAAGGAGGTGGCAAAAGTGTATTGAACTTGATGGTGATAATGTAGAAAAATAAAAATATAACTGATTTAGTATGTGTTTATTTTCTTGGTTAGGCCGAGTACTTTTCAATCCACCCTCGTAAATTTACAAAGTTAATGTGTTACCATTAAAATAAAAGTAATTTTTAATCACAATATTGCAATATTATTTATTTTTCAACTTAAACATTACAATAATAACAGTCGTGTTGTTTCGGATTTGCTTAACAACACAGTTGCTCGCTCTCATGTAATATGTGGATCGGTCGAGAGACTGATCCAAGTTTGTATCCGAGTTGTCCTATCACCGAGCGATACTGTTATAATTTATCAAGTTTGTTTGAAATTGTTAGTTTATTGATTTAATTGTCATGTGTTAGTATCAGATGTCCGCAAAGAACAACAGACAGTTTTGTATATCGGGAATAAATGTTATGGTTACTCTACTCCGGTCCGCTGATGGCCTGTGTTGCTCTATGTTCCATATACTTATGTGTACTGACAATATGCACTGATTGTACACTATCGTTTTCTATTTAGTTTTGAGGAATACGTGACGAGATGTGTCATGATCTTCCGAACGATGGATGTGGCGCTGAGTAGGGTTCATTGAATGACTTCTTGGTGGAATTTAGGCTCAGCTAGTAAGGCACTTTGTTCAAAGTAAAATATACCCGACAACAACACCTTGTTACCAACCACTACCGGTATAGGCGTGACATAACCGTTACATATGGCCTTTGTCTTGTACATGTTCACACACCTTTACTTCTATTAAAAAGCCACTTGCCATTTGGTGGGCTTTCAGCTTCGCATGTCACTTTAACGTTGTCATTCATTCATCCATCCAGTACAGCCCATAAAAGTCCATTGCTGAACACAGATTTCCCTCAAAGAACGCCTCATATGGGATTTTGTAATAGTTGCCACGCATGTCAGTCAGGTTGGCAATGGCAGCTCGCTTTGAGTTGCTATCAGGAAGGTGTTGCTGCTCATCTCAAGTTTCAGTTTGCCTCTGTCGCCTATAACGACACCTACGGGACGATATGCAGTAGTAGATGTTCTTATACCGGCACTACACGGTTAGTTAGGTTTAATGTTACAAAATAATAAATATTAAACAATAAAAAAAGACACAAAAATTAAATTAGTTGGTCACCGTACCAGCAAGCGGGTCATCGGTGACTCCACGGGCACAAGTCAACTGTGCGTATTGTGCTTGGTACCCGGGCGTGTCGTCCACCTCCACGAAGTGATCATCCGGCAACGAAGACTCGTCTGCGGGCAACTCGAACAGAGATATCAGCGCCTGTGAACAACCGGAAGTAGTAAGTCTTACCGAAGGTTTGTCTACTGACCATCACTGTAAGACGCGATCAAAATATATAAGAGGTGGGGTATTGATGCATTCAGTCTGCTTACACTATTTTAACTACCCATTTGGTATTTAGTTTTTTTTACAGTTACAGTTTGCTTGATGATAAGTGGATGATGTAATATATAGAAACCGGAATCTATAGTTTTAAGGTTAATCTAGTAACTAACTCTTAACTTCTTGCACTTGCAAGACCCCTGACCTCTGATATACAGTCAAAATTGATATTTATATATGTATTAATAATCATACCAAATAAACTAAATTGTGACACGGTATTTAAAACAACGAAGGCCCCAGAATTTCTTACCGGTTTTTGTGAGGTCTTGTTTTCCTAACCGGAAGCCAAATATTTTAACATAAATCTAAAATTCTTCTCGCGCAGTCGCACAGCAGCCGTACTCAACCCGCCGCCGCGATACACACACACGCCGAGCGACAAAGACAAGACGAGTAGAGCGAGAGGGAGCGCGCACCTGCAGCAGGCGCGGCCACAGCGGCCCGAGCGCGCCGTGGCGGAAGTGCGCGCAGTCACACAGCAGCCGCACGCAGCCCACCGCCGTGATACACAGACACGCCGAGCGACAGAGACAAGACGAGCAGAGCGAGAGGGAGCGCGCACCTGCAGCAGGCGCGGCCACAGCGGCGCGAGCGCGCCGTGGCGGAAGTGCGCGCCGTCACACAGCAGCCGCACGCAGCCCACCGCCGTGATACACAGACACGCCGAGCGACAGAGACAAGACGAGCAGAGCGAGAGGGAGCGCGCACCTGCAGCAGGCGTGGCCACAGCGGCGCGAGCGCGCCGTGGCGGAAGTGCGCGCAGTCACACAGCAGCCGCACGCAGCACGCCGCCGCGATACACAGACACGCCGAGCGATAGAGACAAGACGAGCAGAGCGAGCGGGAGCGCGCACCTGCAGCAGGCGCGGCCACAGCGGCGCGAGCGCGCCGTGGCGGAAGTGCGCGCAGTCACACAGCAGCCGCACGCAGCACGCCGCCGCGATACACAGACACGCCGAGCGACAGAGACAAGACGAGCAGAGCGAGAGGGAGCGCGCACCTGCAGCAGGCGCGGCCACAGCGGCGCGAGCGCGCCGTGGCGGAAGTGCGCGCAGTCACACAGCAGCCGCACGCAGCCCACCGCCGTGATACACAGACACGCCGAGCGACAGAGACAAGACGAGCAGAGCGAGAGGGAGCGCGCACCTGCAGCAGGCGCGGCCACAGCGGCGCGAGCGCGCCGTGGCGGAAGTGCGCGCAGTCACACAGCAGCCGCACGCAGCCCACCGCCGCCGCACGCCGCTCGTGCGCGCCGCTAACGCGCTGCAGCTCCGCGATCAGCACGCGCTCCGTGTACATCGCGAACATACTGCCAGAAATATACACTTAGTTTTAATCATTTCACAAAATTACTACGCCGTTGCTTTTACTCTTCCAACCATTTATTTTACTTTTGACATAAGTACACCTAGAACGGGAGATAATATACTCCTTAATCTGATAAATAAATGGCTCTGACGCGGCTTCCGCTGGTGTCGACCAAGGTTAAGAAAAAGGGTAGTAGATGTGGCAAAGAGAACGGTTTGTGATCGAGAGCGCCAGCATAGGACGTCCTTTTTCTTCGTCCTTAGCAGGCGAAAACGACCCCTGCCCCCCCCCCCATTCTTAAATGGCTAACCCAGAGCGTCCGAATTCTGTAATAATTTCCAGGCAAATGGAGATTTGCTTTGCTAAGGACAACATTGACCTCGACTAAGGTCTTGTATGTGACAAGACCTTTGGGTGGCTAACGGTCAAGTTGACTTGTGATCTATATTGATTAAAAAATTATTCTATTCTATTCTATTGTCAGCTGCTGGTAAGATTTTTGTCAGAGCTTATATAATTTACAATAAGAACATTGAACTTTTAACTGTTCTGGAGTACTGCAAAGGATGACCTGGTAACAGCCTTCATAAACGTCAAGGCATAGACACGGGCCAGAGTAATCATTTGCTCAGCATATCTTTCCAGAGATAATTAAATCCTGCCATCGAGTTAAAACGAGTGGCGGAATATGCCCGAAAATTCACCGCCGAACTGATAGACCATTAAGTAATAATAAACTGCGTATTCTGGCAAGAAATCTGACTGGACACTGTTGTCTAAAAATAATAATAATAAATTTTATTGACATAGATTTATACAAATGTAAGCAAGTAACAGTAAGCTAATCATCTAAACAATGTTCAAGATAAGATATACAAATATTTTCCGTTGGACCCCAAACTAAGATAATCCTGTATCTTGGGGTCGGCTTGAAAATGCTTATGTCTATCCTAAGATTAAGCAACTCAAGAATGTGCCGATTCTGTTCCTTAACGGAAGAAACACCTCTACACATCTTGAATAATTGTGGACCCTTAATGCGCAAACGTAAAACTATCTGAAAAACTACGTACTTAGCCCAGAAGAAGTAAAATTGTTCACAGTTTAGCAACTCAACATCGACCTCGTGCATGTCTTATCAGGTCGCGACGTTACACTCTATCTAGTAGGCGGACGCCCTACACTTCGCCTGCGGGTACCAGGCTGCCACTCGAGATCCTTTCTTCCACATCGGTTGTTGGTTCTTCAAGCTATAATGCCGACCTATTGCCACTACAGCTTACTAATCCGTTGGGTTATGTCGGTCACTCTGGTTCTACTCTGGATATCCTCGTTTTTAAGTCTATCACGCAGAGAAACCCCGAGCACTGTACTCTCCATAGCTCACTGAGCGACTTTGAGCTTCCTCTTACAGCCAGCAGCACCAGTCGCACAATTTTGTTTTGAAGTTTTGAGGTATGCCTTATGAGATGTGTATTAAGCTCCCGAATGTTGCCTCCGAGTTGAATCCGTCAATTAAGCTCTCGATCGAAGTTGGACTCTAAACCGTTTGTCTCAGATAAACATACTCGTCAACAACTTCGAACTTAGAGCTCCTTACAACTACCGGCATAGGTGTGATATGAACGATACACATGACTTTTGTTTTGTCCATATTCGTCTTAATACCTAACTGTTGGGAGACTGCCGAACATAGAAGTCATTGAACATAGTGCTTAGGTCTACCAGAGATTCATGATGAGTTTCGAGGATATTACGTCACCCTGTCTTACACCTCTCTGCAGTTGGATAGGTTTCATACACTGGTTATGTACTCGGACAGCCATTATAGCACTACTGTACAAACACTTCAGCACTTCGATATACCGATAGTCATCTTGGCACCGCTGAAGGAACTGTAGCACCGCTCAAATTCGACGGATTCAAAGGCTTTCTTTAGTCTACATACGCCACCACGTACATATGCCACCAAGTGGCAGATTGTACACTTTGGTCTTCTGTACAATTTACCGAAGGGTAAAAGGTATGTATGTGGTCTACGGTACTAAAGCCTTTTATAGACTTTTATAAAATAGCCACGAATTCGGAACACAAGCTCTCTTGATTGTTCTTTAAGGCATACCTTTCATTTTGCAAGTATGAAGCTAACGGGGGAAAAAGATATGCACAACCCAACAAAACGTGAAAATTCACAAGTAAATCAATACGGGGCAATATAAATATTCAGCTCGACGTATAAAAAATGTGAATGAACACTCAGCGAACGAAAATGAAGTCGATTGTTATAAGTCGAGTCGGTAATGAATTGAGCCATCACTAATTGATCAGTAATCGAGCTGTCAAAAGTAAAATAAATGGTTGGATAGAGTACAATATGATGTATTTCAAGAAGCTTAGCAGTGGCGGCGTAAGCGAGTACATCGCCCCATTTCGTCCTGTAGATATTGTTGAGCGCCTAAGTTGATGTCTGGTACCTGGCACTAGCGCCATCTAGTGTCGGGGAACAGAGCGAGGTGAGCTTTTTAGAAAATGCCGTGCCTGAACTTTCCACCAACAGCGCCATCTAGTATCGAATAAAAGAACTAATCTTTCTGGAAAGCTCCACATTCGAACTTTCTGCACCTGGTCGATCGGGGGCCGGTATTTGCTGGAATATTCTGGATGTATTGGTGAAAAAGGCGTATATAAAGGCGTTGAAGCTCGCCACTGGGGCAGTATTGAATTAGCCATACGAGCGAAGCTTTCGGAGCGAAATAAAGTGAACTAAAGTGTTAAGTGTGAATAATTATTAGTGTGATTTAAGTTTTAATTGGTGTTCAGTAATTAAAAGTGTCTATTTTGGTAACTCAATCGGCAGTTTTTATCGTCACGAACCCTAAGCTCGTAACAATATCATAAGAGTCTGTGAGAGTGGCAACGAGAAAATTCAACCTCTGCACTCCTTTCCGTCTGTTTCCCCAGGTCTCATGATACAGATATCCCCATAGGTATCCCCATCATATTTATTTGTATAACTTTATGGATCACCCTTGAAATAAAGCTTATTAAATACAAAAGAATTATTAAAATCGGTTCACAATCTCCTTTGATATGGCGTAACATACATGCAAAAAAATGAACATACACTCGAATTGAGAACCTCCTCCTTTTTGAAGTTGGTTAAAACCCGTGAATGACATTAAAAAGTGTGCGAATCGGTCCCTAACGGAAATGCCAAAAGGTGGCCTTGTGTCTTACAATAGATGCCAAAACAACACTTTCGTTTATGAGGAATAATATCCCTAAATCTGAGTTACCGTTATCGTTACAGCCTATTCATTCATATTCATTTATAGATAAAATTAGCTTATAGTATAGACAACCAAATCGCTTATATCTATATTAAATAGAATAAAATACACAAGAAAAAAAATCAGCAATTATTAAATATAACCATAAATTACAGCCGCAACAGTATAATGAGATCTTTTTACTTTATCATAAATTAAACTTAATTCCTAAACTTATACTATTCTTCTATCTTACGAAGTTATTTAAGAATATTAATATTAGAATAAAAATATTAGAGTTTGTCAAGAAATATGCGTCTGGATTGGCCCTAAGAAAACAGTTTATTAGTCTAACAGCTCTGGAAGTGGGACTGTTATCCGCGTGTGGGAAGCGCCACGTACGCGGACAGGAGAGGAGTCTACGCTTTCGTCTACCAGCGCCTCAATCGTATTGGTACGGTACATAAAGATGTATGGTCTCACGAACTGCAGGATTATCTACTTTGTTAGTTAACAAAAAATAATAATGCATTATATTATATACACTGCTGAACATAGGCCCGCCCTTAGATTACCTCATGGATTGCCAACCCGCTTGCCAAGCTTAGCAGTTATGGCAAATATCCCCCATATTTACCGCAGATTGTTAATTTTAGTCGTTATTAGGAAGCTGCTGCCATCTCCTGATTTTTTCCCTCTGTCGCGTCTTACTGCACCCACAGGATTCTATGGGGTAGCAGATATTCTTACACCGCCCCTTCACAGTAAATCTGAGTAATAAGTGACAAAAATCTGGTAATTACATATAATACCAGCGTAAAATAGTAGCTTAATGCTGCTGCGTTTCGTATGGTGAGTTTAGAGAACCGGAGACCCTTTTTACTCGAAACGAGACATTCCATCTTAGTCCTTACGCGTGACAACGCATCTGCATTTTGATTTGCAATCGAGGATAGATGTCTATGGGCCGCAGCAAACACTTACTGGTGGACTGTGTGCTCATTTGTCACTCTATCCTATTAAAAAAAATTTGATCATCAAGCGATAGTAAGAACAATTCTAGTAAATCTTTTGAACTGTGGATATGCTCAATAACCAGGAGTAAACTATTTATTATTATTTAATTATTTTTTTTATTTAACTTGGCACTTACTTGCTCTGTACGGAGTCAACAAGATCGACAAGCTCGTCTGCCCCGAAATGTGCGGCATAAAAACCGAGGAACGCGATAAGGCCTCGCACGTACTTCGTGGTCTTCGACGAAGACAGCCTTTGGAAGAGTAGCGTTATAATTTGTTTCGTATACGGCTGCATTACCGAGCTGAAAATAGATAAAAGTAAGTTAAGTTACAGCCTAAATACGTCCCACTGCTGGGCACAGGCCTCCCTTCATTTCTGAGAGGGTTTTTAGGGCAAGGAAGTGTTCGCCGCGCTGCCCCAATGCGTTTTGAAGAACTTCATATGTCTTCGAAATATTTTTTTTCTTATTCCTCAGACATGTAGATTTCCTGACGATGTTTTCCTTCTTCGCCGAGCACGTGGTAAATCAGCACTCAAAATTCCAATTAACAATTTAATTGGTGCCGGTGGGGATCGAACCCGGGTTCGTGTTTTGTTATATTTGCAGCGAGGGTTAACCATCTGAGCTACCACGGCTCAAAATAGATAATGATAAATTAAATGAAATTATGATTTTACATGGTTTGAAACTGGGATGTAGTCGTACACTGTTGGCCATATAATAATGTTAAAATTCGCACAGTGCGATATGGTGCAATAGAACCAGAGTAACCGACATAGCCCAACAGATCATCTACCTGAATTGGCAATGGGCCGGCCATATAGCCTCAAAGAACTGAGAACTGACGTGGGAAAAGTTCTCAAATGGCAAACCTCATAACCGTAAGCAAAGTGTAAGGCGGCCCCCCACTATATGGAGTAACGACCTGATAAACCATGCAGAAAATAGGATAGATGACAATGCCTCAGGACTATGTTTTGTGGCATTCGAAGCAGACTTGTAAAGGACTGTAATGACCTTTGATGGTTTTTGAGATGGATTTTGCCATACTTGCCACACTCGGCAATCGGGTTGGCAACTGCAGTTTTTTAATTTCGAGTTTTCCTCCGTCGCCTCTTAACACATCCACGGGACAGTATGGGGTAGTGGATATTCCTATGTTATATTGTATAGTTATATGTGTATGTATATATATGTTACCATATACAAACACATAAAAAATAAAACAACAAGCTTCAAGCGGGCACCATACAATTTTGGCAAGACATGTATTATTATAATATTGCCATACAAAGTAGCCTAAGATATTGATAAGTAGCCTAAGATATGATAGACCTCAAAGAGCTGTGCTAAGTTATGCTTTTTTTTTGATTGCGGTAAAATTGTTTTTATTGTTCTGTTTTTCTATTTTGGTATGTATTTAATGGGGAGGGTTTAGCAGCTGTAACACAGGTCTGTGACCTAGCAAGGTTGCTAAAGATACCTTAATATAGCATTGAGTTAGATTTACATCTTGTCAATGTAATTTTATAAGTTTTTGTTTTTATGTAAAGTATGTTTGCATTCAATAAATATTATATTATTATTATTCCGAGGCATAAAGCCGAATCTAACTACACCTCTCGCTTAAAAATTCGTGACACAAGTTACAAAGGAATATAAACATGCATACACATGTAAAGCATTCACTACTCCACAACCCGCGACCTCCAACCAAACAATTCGGAGGGATCAGGAAAAAAATGTCAAACTATTGGTTAAAAATATACAAATGTGCAAAATCAAGAAAATTTTTTGTTTCAACTCAAAACTTATAATAATAATAGAAAAAGTATGAAGTAACTTACTTTCCAAATTTATAGAGCATTGTCTGCACAAGGTAAAATCCTTCATGGTCGTTTGTCTTGGAAGCAATCAACTTTTGGAATACGCCTAACATTGCATTCTGGAAGATCAAAACAACATAAGTTAATACTTGAGTAAATATAAAATTAAGCATTCATAGTGTTGCTCAATTCGTAATTTTAATATAATTTTTATTTCAGCAATGTATAACTGCATATATTATGTAAAGTAAAGTGTTTATTTCAGCAAATTTATAACAGCATAATGTATGCAAAGTAAAGTGACAATTTTTGAAGATTTAGGGCCTAGCTATAAAATATCTCTTGAACGAGTTTTATTTCTGAAAAAAAAAACCCATAGCAACAATAATATTGTTAATATAGCGAGAATGGAATCAATGGGTGCGTTTGGCAGAAAAAAGCGCTAGCAAGCGCTTGTAAGCAAAATGGCGATCGTAAGCGGTAAGCGCTGTCAAATCGTAAGTAGCTATTTTCCTCCAGGACACGATGTTAGTTTTAACCGGGGAACCTAACCTCATTTAAATATATGTTTGTAAAGTATTCATATTAAAAACTTACCAATCATGAATTTTTAATAACATGTATATGTTTATTCACGTTATTATATTACTTAAAACTAATATTGCACAAAACAACTTATAAACTCTACTTCAAAACAAACAAATTAAATAAGCAAAATGGCGGATTGTGTCAGCGCTACTGAAGTAGTAATCGTGTCCTGGCCGAAAACTATTTCAGCGCTTGTAAGCGCTTGCTAGCGCTTTTTTCTGCCAAACGCACCCACTGTCACTTGGATTGCAAATTATTTACTATAATATAAAATATGAAATGAATAATGCCTGTAATAATTATAATGTGATTGTTTGGTAGGCGATCAATTATAATTTTAATTATTTTCTGATTGGTTGGTTCATAGTGTTTCACCATCAGCCATGCTACGATAGGGTTAGCAACAGTCAACATATTAAGCATATTGCAGTCAAGTCAGAGTCCTAATTGAATAGAAAAAAAAAGATATTCCTCCAAATGGAGAAGAAATGATGAAGGAAATAATATAATAAATATTATTTAATACAATATATGTATAAGACTAAAGTAAAGAAACTGAATGCAGGATTTTTTGATAGATATATTTATATGCTCCACAAGGATTTCAATCCAAATTTCATATGTGGTAGAGCCACACTGCAGCTATATTATGGTTGTAGCACGAATGGGTCGGCTCGACCGGGGAAGACGCGCTCTCACAGAATACCAGCGTAAAGTGGCAGCTTAATGCTGCTGTGTTTCATATGGTGAGTGTAGAAAACCAGAGACCCTTTTTACTGGAAATGGAAACGAGGCATTCCATCTTAGTCCTCAGGGTTGACAATGCATCTGCATTATGATTCTTAATCGAGGATAAATGTAGATGTCTATGGGCCACGGCATCCACTTACCATCAGGTAAACTTTGTGCTCCTTTGTCACCCATATTCTATAAAAAAAGGAAATATATTAAGCTAAACCCTCCATGCGTGCAGGCTACAAAGGATCGAACACACTGGATATTATGTTGGCCACACTGGACGTACTGGACTAGTTGAATACATTGGACATACTGGACACGGAAACAGTTGATATTTTGTCACACTGAACATATTGGAAAAGTTGAACAAATTGGATATGCTGAACTTATTGGAAATAAGATATCTGAATTTACTGGACACAATGAATAAGTTGAACATACATTTTGGATACACAATGAACATGTTGGTCACATTCGACATGTTGGACTTATTAGACACAATAGATAATTGACACAAATTGGATTTGCTGACATACTGGAAACACTGGACATGTTGGACATGTAAGACTTATTGGACATGCTGGACACAATGGACAAGTGAAAATACATATAAATTTATTTGAACATCATGAATATGTTCAGTATCTTACATAACTGTAGAGTCCCATGTGTTGACGATTCCGTGGCTCAGAGGTTTAACAATCAGTTGCGCTGACGACCGCGAGTTCGAATCCCGCACGGAACAAGTATTTGTATGGTCTACAAATAATTGTTCCGGGTCTGGATGTTTGCTTTTGTGAAATTTATATTATGTAAACTGCCTCCACACTACAGGAGAAAATCCTAGTTTATGTATGTTTTTTTTATAGGATAAGGGTGACAAACGAGTACACAGTGCACCTGATGGTAAGTGAATGCTGCGGCCCATAGATATCTACATTTATCCTAGGTTAAGAATCAAAACGCAGATGCGTTGCTACCTTTGAGGACTAACATGGAATACCTTGTTTCCAGTAAAAAGGGTCTCTGGATCTCTACACTCACCATACGAAACATAGCAGCAATAAGCTACTATTTTACATTGGATTCTGTGAGAGCGTGGTCCCACCCCGGTAGAGTCGACCCATTCGTGCTACAACCATAATATAGCTGTAGCATAGTTCTACTATGTATAAAAGGGTAGAAGTTGAACTATTATTTTCTTATGAACTGGTTCATAGTATTTCACCGTAGGCAGTGTTACGGTAGAGTCGGCAATAGTCAACATATTAAGCAGAATCTAGTCAAGTCGGGGTCCTAATTAAATTTAACTTTATCAAAGATATTCTTCCAAACGGAGAAAATCGATGAAGAAAATGATATAATAAATATTACTTAATGTGATTAAGAATAAAATAAATACTAAAAAAACAGAAGGCAGGTGGCAATTTAGATGCTCGAAAAGGAATTCAATTAAAAATTTCTTAAGTGGTAGAGCCACACTGCAGCTATATTATGGTTGTAGCATGAATGGGTCGGCTCCACTGAGGTAGAACCACGCTCTCACAGAATACAAGCGTAAAATAGCAGCTTAACGCTGCTGTGTTTCGTATGGTGAGTGAAGAGAACTGGAGACCCTTTTTAATGGAAACGAGGCATTCCATCATAGTCCTCAGGGGTGAAAAGTTGTAGGCCAAACAAATACATGTTCTGGGTCTGGATGTTTGCCTTTGTGAATATTATGTTATTTATACTACCTCCATACTACAAGAGAAAATCCCAGTTTTTGTATGAATGTGTCCAACACTGTAAATACTGGACGAAACATTGGCACTATGGAACAGACAGGGCACTGACCAACTTGCCGGAGCGCAGCACGAGGTCGGTGCGCACCGCCACGAAGGCGCACAGCAGGCGCACGAGCGGGCGCACGTTGGCGGGCCGCTCCCACAGCGGCGGCGCCACCAGGCACGGCAGCAGTGCGCCGTAAGCGTCCCCGTCGCCGCTTGCCGAGCTGCTCGACGACCCGCTCGTCGATCCGCGCAACTCCAGCAGCAGCGATAGCATTTGGAACACGTACGGCATGAATTCTGCAACACACGTATAAGTCATACTCTTGCAAGGCAAACTTTGTTCTGCGCTTTTTTGACGACCCTTTGTCATGTCCTATTAAAAGTCCCTAAATTCGAAAAAAATTGGTGGCTCTGGGCGGAAAAAAAAAACTATCCTATCATTCAAGTTGGAAGAAACTGCACACAGTGCGCAATTTGATTAAAATCGGGTAAGTAGTTTAAGAGTCCATTGCGGACAAACAACGTGACACGTAATTTTGGGATATATATATATATATATATATATATATATATATATATATATAGATTTCAAACATTAACATGAACAAAAGCAAAATGACGAAGATAAGTGTAATAATAGTTTTTTTTAATTAAAAATGGACTCACTCTTGACCTACATCTGGCCTGAGGGCAAATATGAGGTCCAGGATTGAGTGAGTTTGCTCAGAAGAAGCCTAATAGCACGTACCTTGAAGAGGTTAAGTTCATATGCACTTGGAAGAACAGACACCGCCGGTAGAGAATTCCATTCCGTGGCTGTGGGCGTTATGAAAGAGGACTTATAGTGCTTAGTGCGAATATTCGGAATATCAACCAAGTGTGGATGGTATCCTTTAGTACGTCTGGTACTCCGATAGGAGAATGGAGATGGCAGCATTAGGTTACGAAGCTCTTAAGCACACTCTTCGAAGTAAAATTTGTAGAAGACCGACAAACGAGCAACTTGGCGGCGGTGAACTAAGCTGTGAAGCTTAATTTACACCGGTTTTTTTATTTTGCCGATAAGCCTTTGCGTTGCACAGAGTCAAGTGCGGCAACTAGATATTTTGCTGAGCCATTCCAAAGGTGACTACAATACTACATGTATGTAATGTACCACATTACTTGCATTCTGTAATACGTCGCATCGTCCATCACAACGACGCTATTTGGAGGGATGTGAATAACTATTGAGGGTTTGGCTAGCCTTTCAACCCAAGCCAAGATGAATGTTATATATACGTAATTAGTGTGAGATTTTGTTTAGGACTAGCGATCTATTTATATATATATATATATATATATATATATATATATATATATATATATATATATACACATATATGTGTATAGAAAGTATAACAGGCGGTCTTATCGCTCTAGAAGCGGTTTCTTTCAGACAATCCTTTTTTAGTAAAGAACTGTTGTATACAGCGAATGCAAATAGGGAAGGTGTAAATAAATTTGATATATATAATTTTAAATAAAAACGGTTGAGGGTAGGTAGGGTAGATACAATTTAGGACGAGAATTTTGATGGGAAATAGAGTTCCCCTGTAATAAGTTTTGAATAGATTTTTGAAGGAAAAAATGGACTGAGCACGTCGAATCTAAAGGCTATATGGGCAGTTTTACTTTAATATAATGTATATAAATATAAAACTTACTTTAGTATTTTTATATATGTAATATAAAAATATAACACCATTATATTAAAGTAAAATGGTGGTAAATTAAATAAATAATTAAAAAGGTACTCCAAGTACTATATTTTTTTACTCTTTGTTAAAAAGATGTTAAGCTAAACGGACATTCGCGTGCAGCGATAAAGTTTGGTTTGTGAGAAGGATTTACCTAATTAACTTTAACTTTAGTTTTATGTAGGCTATAAAGTCCGACTACTAAAGAAGTTGGACTTCCGTACGTAGTAATATTATTTATTCTATTTCCAGGCGTAGCCAGGGCGGGTCGCTTGTTATAAATGTAATTTTAAAATTAGATGGTTCTACTTGCGAATACAATTCTATTCAAATATTTTCCCATTAATAGAAAATTTCCAATTAAACGAATAATATAACATTTTTATTAACATAATTACGATATACCGTTATTAGCGGGTTTTTGCTATCGGTACTGTGCGTGTTGACGGTACGGGCTCTATGAGCCTCCATTTCTAATCCTATTATTTATCCGTACAGACTATAAATACAATGTGCTGTTTTACAAAAATTAAGTTACAGCCTATATAGGTGCCACTGCCGAGCATGAGCAATTTTTATGGCAAGAAAGTGAACTCTGTGTCTGCCACGTTGGCAGACTTTGCATGATTTCAAAATATTTTTAATTCTCAGTGTTACGTTCATGTTTCCTCAAATTGTTTTCCATCACCGTCGAGCACGTGATAAATCAGCACTTAAAATTGTAAACAATTCCATTAGACCCGGCCTAGATAGAACCAGAGCTGCGCGTGGCGTACTGTGAAGTTTACGGCAAGCTCTTAGCCCCTGAGCTATAACATGGCACGGGCAGTCTTATAGTTAAAAAAATTCATATAGACAAGTTAAACGGGAAACTTTTTTTTACTGCGTTCACGACTTTTCGAGTGCTTTGCATTATCTGTGGCCACAGCTGATGATTTTTGAATGACCTAACATTTAAAATTGTTGATATCTTATAACTTTGCCTATTACTTCCGATAGTTCTATACCTACCATCTCACATACTTTAGATAAGAATATGTTATGACAAATGAGTACCTCTGTGTTGTGTATACAATGAGAGTATGCTTGCGATACTATATATTTTCTCAACATACGTATGTTCTTCCTAAATTGAAAGGATAATCACCATGCTTAGCAAGTGAATAGATCGCAAGAATAAGCACAAAATACTTGATTTTTCAAAATTTGTTTTTGATCACTAGTTTTGTAACACTACTCTACTCTACGACTTCTACAATGCTAAAATACTAAAACTAATATATAGTAATAAAAATTAAGACCTACCTTGAACATCATTCTGAAGAATTTCTTGGAATATTGGGAAGAGGGCGTCTTCGAATGCTGAGATAGCATTTGGATTTGACTTTGTCACTAATCTGAAGAAGAAAAAAAAAACAAGTCTGAGTAAGAAGACTAAAGCCATCACAGAATTACAACCAGTCATTCAACTACTGCTGTAATCTGTATCTAGCACAAGCATTTTTAGTTTAGTTTTAGTGTCTAACAGAAATAGCATTTTGTATTTTTTTATTGTATAAGGGTCACAAGCGAGCACACAGTCCACCTGATGGTAAGTGGATGCTGTGGCCCATAGACATCTACATCTATCCTCGATTAACAATCAAAATTCAGATGCGTTGCCACCCGTGAGGATTAAGATGGAATGCCTCATTTCCAGTAAAAATGGTCTCTGGTTCTCTACGGTAAGTGTAAAGATCCGGATTTTTACTGGAATCGAGGCATTCCATCTTAGTCTTCAGGGGTGACAACGCATTTGCATTATGATACTTAATTGATGATAAATGTAGATGTCTATGGGCCACAGCATACACTTACCATCAGGTGGACTGTGTGCTCGTTTGTCACCAAAGGCTAAAAAAAGCTTACTTCTAATTATCTCACTGCTAATGCAGTTACTTGATTCCTCTGGACTCTAATTCTATGGTGTTAGTACTGGCATATATTAATAATTTCCATCAAAAAAACAGTACAAATGTCACTTACGATACAGCCAATGAAAGTGTTTCAAACAAATAGTGATTGAAGTGAGGCTTGCATGGATTCTTCGCGACAACGGACAACATCAGCGCCAATTTGGGTAGCGCGTCTCCCAAGTATGGTAACGCTGCGTCTTGCAGACATGACAGCGTTCGTAAGATTGCTGAAAATATAAAATATACACGTATTAATATGAAGTTTAAAAAACCGAAACAGAAGGCACACTTCTTGAGACAACATAAAATTTCAGGGAATTTTTTTTGTGCGGTGTTTTTTAAAAATACAATAAATTCTGTTCTTCTATTACAGCCAGTAACAGTCCACTGATGGTCGTGGGCTCTGCCAATTGTAGAAAGGATTTACCGAAATCGCCAAGCTTGACAGACGAATTCGCGATCGCAATATGTCTCGCACCGTTGACACTACTCCACGAGAATGGTAGCCGTACTTTGTATTCTATATACACTAGATAGTATATTGTCTCTATCTGAGGCCATGAGATTATTCTGGCTTGCCCATAGACGACTTATAAGTCATCCATGGGACGAAATGTTTTGGCAGCTTAACGGTATCACCACATCGCAAGTGAACTCCTAAAAGACTATTAGGTATTAAATTAACAATAACTTAATCAACATCATCATTAGAGCCTATCCATAATCCATCACCAGTAGACCTACCCCATAGTTTGCCTTGTAGGGTGACATTTGCCTTAAATTCCACACTTAGCAGGGTTGTAAAATAATACAAATATTAATTTAGGTATGATTAAGTAAACAGCAGGTAGCATCTAGCTGGTAGATTATTCAATTGTACCACATTGTTCAAACTATACAATAATTAAGACAGCATGCTGCTATTCTGCCACTATGCTTTCATCTCAAGCATTAGTAAAAGTTAGTAGTAAAGTAAAGTATAGGCAATGCCACGAGTCATGGAAGTGTGCAGAACCCAAAAATAGGTGTCGGCACGGTGAGGTGTGAGGTACGGGGGAAGCGAAACCATAGCAACGGGCGACGCGCTACTCCCAAGTAGTTAGTCTCTTCATACGTCCCGTCGCCCGCGCACCTTCTTATGTCGTCTTGTGTACTATCGATATCGAAAGTGTTAGCGACTACCTGTTATAAAATTTAAAAATTTTGTGATTATTTTTGTACTTTTAACAATATTATTCTATAATATTTTCAAATAGTGTGCAAATATTTATTACTTTATAAATTATTTTGGGACTATTTAAAATAGCGTAGTTCGTAGTATATTGTATAAAGTTATAAATATTTTGTTATTCTCTAAAAGATGATTTTTTTTTGCAAATTAATGCATGTAAAAAATATCCTTATAAATATCGCATAGTATTGTTTAAACAGCAATTACAAATACAAAAATACAAATACAAACTATTTTATTTCCTTAACTAAGTGTACATAAAATGCAGAATATTATTTAGCAGCAGTTAAAACCAAATGATGATATATAAATATATAATATGTAGTTATAATGTTGACCTTTGACTTTTTAAATATTAAAATGCCATAATAAAATTTTCATTTTTCTGCTTGATTTTACATGCACAGTGGACTCTATTTAATTTCATCTTACGTGGCACTACCTATAATAATAGCCTATGTACGTCCCACGGCTGGGCACAGGCCTCCTCTCACTTCTGATATTCTGAGCGGCTATAGCTGATATTCTGAGAGGGTTTTAGGGCAAGGAAGTGTCCGCCGCGCTGCCTCAATGCGTGTTGACAAACTACACAACTTCACATAACATGCAGGTTTCCTCGCGATGTTTTCCTTAACTGCCTAACACGTGGTAAACCAGCACCTTAAATTGTAATTAAAAATTCCATTGGTGCCGGCGGGGATTTTTTTAAATTTAATAGAAAGTTGGGTTGCTAGCGTACTGTGAAATTTACACCGAGTGCTAAGCCCTTAAGCTAACACACAACTCTCATCTTAAGCATTATCCCAACACAAACAAAAGTCAGCCCTTTTATTGTCCATAACAAACATAGGATACATTTTCAAGTAACACCGAATGATTTCTATGCGAACACTACACATTGAATAAAACTATTTATGCTGATTTTATCGCGTTTAATTACTACTTTAACTTATTTTTTATTACTATATACATTGTTATATATTATATATATACATTATTATTATTTATAGTCACGGGGGGAGGTGGGGACCATGGGTGCTGTAAACCACCCAAAACGTCGGGTTAGTAAAAAAAGAAGTTAACGTAGTAATTAAACGCGATAAAATCCGTAAATAATAGTTTTATTTAAGTAACACCGAAACCAAGCCAAAAACATGCTCAATTTATTGTAAGAACACACGCAACTAATGTGATTTTACAATTTTGTGGGCATATGCATATGGTGCATAATATTGTGTTTGTGAGTGCACGTGAAGAAGTTGAGTATTGTTTCAGTGTCATTTGAAATGTAGGCAGTGCTTCATTTATCTTTCATTGCTTGTCTCAGATGATTAAATGATAAATAATCTGTTTTTAGTGGAATCATTAGGGGGTTTAGTTGTAGCTACATTCATTTTTATATAGGGGTAGACTAATAGCATTTTTTAATCGGTTATATTATTTTGTATATATTACATATAAACTCAGCGGCACAATTAACCGCCCACCTTGATTTTTTACGATTTTGGTTAAAAAAAATTGTGGCCTTACTTGTGAATGTTATTTTATAACGTAGGTATATTGAAGTAAAATGAAAGATAATATTGTTTTTAATTATTACGTTTATTTATAAAAAAGTCTGAAAAACACTTTGACCGTAAATTAACAAATGTGATGAAATGGCTTAAAAATAAAAAAATCTGCTGAATAAATGAATTCTAATAGTGCGTATTTCCACCTCTAGCCCTCATGACTTCCATCAAACGGTTTGGCATGCTGTCGATGACATCTTTGATCTGTTGTTGTGGAATGTTCTGCCACTCCTCAATCACGGATTGTTTTAATTCATCTATGGTGGTTGGTGCTGATATGCGGCTTCGAACACGTCTTTTTAAATTGTCCCATATGTGTTCAATAGGATTTAAATCTGGGCTCCGGGATGGCCATGTTAATTTTCGAATGCCGACGGTATCCAGGTACGCGGTAACAACTCTAGCAACGTGGGGGCGAGCGTTGTCCTGCATTAATAAAAAAATCTTCGCCAATAAATGGAGCAAATGGCATTACATGAGGTTCCAATACTTCTGTTACATACCTCTGAGCATTTATTCCACCTCTTTCGAAGATAACCAAGTTGGTGCGTGCTTCGTAAGTAATGCCACCCCATATCATGATAGAGCCACCTTGGTAACCTACTGTTTCCACAACAGTACATGGTGTAAACCTTTCATTCTTGCGTTTGTATACACGCTGGCGACCGTCAGGACCGTGCAAGCATATTCTTGTCTCGTCAGTAAACATAACATTCTTCCATTGTTCCATATTCCATTCGGCGTGCTCTCGGGAAAAACGAGGTCTTTCTCTTCGGTGGCCTACGAGCAATTGTGGCACTCGAGATGGTCGAAAAGCTCCAAGGGCATTCTCTCCTAGTCTTCTTCTCACTGTTCTTTCACTCACTTGAACATTGCGAACCTCACGAAGTTGGTTTCGTGCCTCAACAGCTGTAGTGAACCGATTTCTTAGAACATTGGTCACAAGAAATCGGTCGTCACGAGTGGAGGTACATCTTTTTCGGCCCTGTCCTGGTCTTCGCTCATAAGAGCCAGTTTCCCGAAACCGTTTCACTGCATCCCTTAAGGTGGTACGTGCGACACCAAGCTTCCGCGCCACGTAACGCTGACTAAACCCTTCGTCGATAAGAGCGACGGCTCTCGCCACTGAATTAGCATCAAATGGCATGTTTGTGATGTCCAAACACTAGCTTTAAGTTACGAAACCAAAACAAACTCAAATTGTTTACTTTTAATGCCACTGAAGCAATGTAAGCAGTATAGCAACGATAACGATAATGAGACGAAGTTCGATATTTGTCCTATTCACAACTTATGCGTAAAAAAACAAAGTTAAGTGGGTAGCTTGTAATTTTTTCGTCACTACATTTCTTTCACACTTGACTTATTTATGCCCAATAACTTACAACTGCGATAACATCAAAATTTGCCACTTTAAAAGGGTGGGCGGTTAATCGTGCCGCTAAGTGTATATAATGAGTTATATGATGTGTTTTGATGAAGAGCCGTCGTAGCTCAGATGGTTAGCGCTCGTTGTAAATTTCACAGTACGCGAGCAAACTGAATTCGATCCCCGCCGGCACCAATGAAATTGTTAACTGCAATTTTAAGTGCTGATTTACTACAAGCTCGGCGGTGAAGGGAAACAAGGTGAGGAAACCTGCATGTCAGAGAAATAAGAAAAAAAATATTTCAAAGACTTGTGAAGTTCGCCAACACGCATTGGGGCAGCACGACGGACACTTCCTTGCCCTAAAACCCTCTCAGAAACGAGCGGAGGCCTGTGCCCAGCAGTGGGACGTATATAGGATGTAACTTTACTTTATTTTATGATTTACAGTTAAAATCTCAACATCATTAAGTTAAGACTAACCTTTCATAACATATTCATTATGGTCTGCAGGATCCGCATTCTCCCCCAATGCAGCAAACAGAGCACCGAGCAACTTCGGTGCGTGTGGTTGCAGCACAGCTTTAGGGACCATGCCACCCGCTATAAGTTTTTCTACAGTACAAGCGGCGTACGTGCAAACCACACCGCGCCCGGATATGTGCTCAATCTAGAATTTTTTTTTTATAAATTAGATTAAATTAGCGGAGATATGGATAAATAGTTGAAGTGTCATCGATTATACCAAACGTAAACCAGACTGCTGAAAGGAAGGTAACATCAATGGTGCAAAACATCTAATACTGCAGATAATACAAAATTTTCTTACAATAATAAAGGCCCAGGTCTCGCATGGATTTTTAAATAATCACATACCTTTACAGCCTTTTAAGTAATACTAGTTTTTACGGATTTTATCGCGTATATTTAACTTTTTAAATACCCGACGTCCTTGTGCTTGGGATCCTATAATAAATAAAATTAAATCCCAACCCAAGCATACAACTGCAAGACTTCAAGATACCATAAGTTCATACTGTGTAGATCGGAACAGAAGTTAAATTTTAATCTATGGTAACCGCGGTTAACAATGACATCTGGACGTTGAACAACTCAGTCCACCCCGTGACCATGGGTGCTGTAAAACGCTCGAAACGTCGGGTATTTTAAAAGTTAAATATACGCGATAAAATCCGTAAAAACTAGTATTATTGAAATGTGTAGTGTTCGCGTAAATATAAGAAATCATTATGTAAACCATTACAGCCTATAAAAAGTCCACTGTTTAACAAAGGCCTAACCCATTGAGTAGTTGTTTCAAGGGCGACGCTCCTGCCCATCTTTTTGATTTCTTTTCCTACGTCATCTCTTACTTACGACACCCACGGGTTTAAATGGATTAGAGTAATAAATATACAGGGTTATTTTGCAGTAACTGACCAAATTTGCAGAGTAGGTTCAGAATAAGTAATATAGGCAAATGGTGAACAGAAATTAATCTTTAAAAAAATTCAGAATGCGAGATAATGCACTATTTTACTGATTTTACCGCGCACGCACACATGTTGTCTATAAATCACATTCAATTTGAGATAATATCAAATAAAAGTCTGTCAATTAAGTAAATTTCGGCATGTTTATTAATTTACTTTTATAATATTAGAGTAGTAGATTATAATATTATTTATAGTGCACTCTACCCATTAATTAACTTTTCACTCATTTTTATTTCCTATTTAGGTTGTCTGGAAGAAATTGCTGCATAGCAATAAGACCGCCTTTTGTTTTTCTCTTTGTTTCTTGTTATGTTATATGTTGTCTTAGTGTTCAATAAAGGGTATTGTATTGTATTGTGAAAGTACAAGCTTTATTTACTCGTATTTTCAAAAATTGCAATAACAGTATATCATTATTTATATTTTTGAACTTAAGTTTAAAATTCAAATATATAAATAATGAAAATCTCGGGTCTTCTTACTTCAACACTACATTGAAGAAGTGAAAATTGTAAACTAGAATTATAATATACAAAATGTCATTACCAGCAGCGGCAAGGCAGTGTTGATAACATCTTTTGGCAGCAGAGAGCGGAACGTCATGATGTATTTGATAGCATCTGCCTTTAACACAGGTAACTCCGTCACTGAAATAAATAAATGAAATATGTTTAAGTGAAATAACAGAATATAAAAAGCTTTTCTCAATTTTTTTTTAACAAAAGTGAAAGAAGCAGTTGAATATAACAGGTAAGTTATTACATAAATATGTTTTTGCTAGAGCAGTCGATCAAAATGAAACAAATCAATGTCTTTCAACCTATTATACCGACAGGAAAATGTCAAATTAATAATTTATTTTTGTAATTTGAGTGGCAAACAAGTACACTTACAAACAGCGAGGTGATGTTGAATTTTGGAATGGCACACTAATAATGGTGAAGCGAAATCAACGTGAGCTAAGCTGCGGGGAGAAGCTTGTATAAAATCTTAATATATATAAATTACTTGTCACGTTGTTTGTCCGCGATGGACTCCTAAACTACTTAACCGATTTTAGTGAAATTTGCACTTCGTGTGCAGTTTGGTCCAACTTGAGAGATACGATAGTTTTTTGTCCAGGATTTTTAATAGGACATGACAGGGTCGTCGAAAAGGGCAGAACAACGTCTGCCTGGCAAGCCAGTATAAAATAAAATCCAGTCAAAACACTAATGTAACCAATGTGTAATAATAACAGATGAAGAAATATCAGTGTTAAAAGAAGATCCAGTCATATTGCGACCTGCACTACTCCTTGCTTCTTTTTCGAAGTTTACGTGGAAGAGTCATGCTGCAGCTGTATTATGGTTGTAGCACGATAAGGTCGGCTCGAATCGAAGAAGGGTCATATTTTCACAGAAAACCAGCGTAAAATAGCAGCTTAATGCTGTTGTGTTTTGTATGGTGAGTTAGAGAAGCATAGACCCTTTCCACTAAAAACAAGGCGTTCTATGTTAGTTCTTAGGGGTGATAACGTATCTATATTTTGATTCTTAATAGAGGATAAATATAGATGTTTATAGGCTAAGGTATCCAGTTACCATCAGGTGGATTGTGTGCTCATTTGTCACACTAATTTGTAAAAAACAACTGTCAGTTGTAGGACTGAAAGCTTCTTAGCTTCACAAACTTGTATACATACACTATACATTGATTAAAAGTAGTTTTAATCAATGTATAGTGTTCGCTGTAAATATAAGAAATCATTAGATCCCGTAACTTATTGTACGTCCACTATGGCCAATTTTGCATATAATGTGGCGTCAACCTGCTTACGACGTCCAATATACGGACGTCAAATAGGAGACTTAGCGCAATGTTCGCAAATTGTCATGCTGATTACAGAAATGTCAAAATCTAAAAAAAAAGAGGGACGTCATTTTTCTTCCAATCTTGCTATATATTTTCGTTGCAAAAATAATAGCGCTGCTCTCGATTTGTGAATACTTTCATTTATGGCCGTATTTGACTTTCGCACAAAATTAGGAGATGCGACGTTGCCGTTCCGTCACCGTTGCCAACGTGTTACTTGTATTTGGTGATATATGGTTATAACTGCCTCGTTGGTCTAGTGGTTGTAGCAGTGCGACTGCTGATCGTGAGGTCCTGGGTTTGAATCCCGGGTCGGGCCAAAAATCAATTATTGAGTTTTTCTGTCAAGAAATTCTCAATAGCTGCCCGGAGTCAGGAAGTTGGCGGTGTCTCACCCCCGTGCCTCGGAAAGCACGTAAAGCCGTTGGTCCTGCGCCTAATCTCTCTCCGGTCGTGTCGGTTTACCGTCCCATCGGATTATGAGAATGAGGGAATAGACAGTAACCCGTGCTTGCGTATGAACTTGGGCGCTATAATCCTGTCCTACGCCGATGGCTAGTCTCCGCTGAGGCAGGCCGCCGTGACCGTAATTCGGTCTGCAGGACATTATTATATGGTTTATACTGCGCTTGGTATTAGTAATTTTACTTTTAAACTTGTTTTCTTAACCTTACATTTAACTACACATAATACGGACGTCCGAATATCCTAAAACTTTCATACTGAATTATATTTGACATCCGTATTTTTGAATTTAGTTATATTTTATAAATGTAGATGCGGACGTCGGCATAACAGTTTATTTCATGCTGCACTATATTTTAACATTTTACATTTGGTACTAATCTGCCTAAAAGAACTCTTGTTAGGTATTTCGTAAGCAACCCATAATTCTGTTTGAGTATAAGTTACCTTCTGATTGAGTACAGGAAGATGGACTCAATTGTAGATATTGACAGGTTTCATAGAAGTTTGTTTTATTATATTGTGACTATATGGTACTATAATAACCTAATATGGTCTGGCGAAGAAACTCATTTTAATATAAGGTTTTACTGCATTAACTGCCAATAGGTTGTTAATTTCTACAATAGACCGTGGCGTATTGCTGCTGACATGAATAACTGCGAAAATATAATTTATTAACTTGATCGTGTTGAGTTTTGGTGCTCTCACTGCATCTTAAGGATGAGTGCGACTATTGTACCTAATCTGTACGAAATTACTCTCTACTTAACTAGATTCATTTTTGTGACAGGCTATTTTTGTTAAATTATGATATTATGTTTGGTTTTGCAGTTAGTTGAAATACAATTTAATTTTCCACACACGTTTTCTAAGCTTCTAAACATTTTATCATTTCCAGAACGAACCATTTTATTAAACACCAAAGTGACTATTTTACACCGCATGGCCTCCCTATACAAAAATACGGATAAAACAATAGCGAAAAATGTCATTACAGCAATGACCATTAATGTGTGTCTTATATACAAGGAATTAAAATTTAAATATATTCATGGTTATATGGACGTCAAATATCGTGCGGTATTAAACTTTACTTGAAATATAACAAAATTCAAAAATATGGACATCAAATATCATTCAGTATGAATGTGTTTTATGATATTCGGACGTCCATATTATTATATGTAGCTAAATATAAGGACACAAAAATAAATGGGAAAATAAAATTATCTACTAGCACTGAGTACAGTATAAACCGACAAAAAATACCAAAATATGCCTTGAGCACTAAATAAATAATCAACATAAATAAATAGTAAAATGCAATAATCAACAACTTTGGACATCGGATATCGAAGAAGTGGACGTCAAATAAAACGTAGTGTGATTATTTTAGGATATTCTTATGTCCGTATATGGGTAAACACTCCGTTCAATGTCCATGTCAAGTACATTAATTAACTTACATAAGTTTATTTACCTAACTTACTAAATATAACCAAAGAAACTTAAATGCAAGCAAGCATAAGCGTGGAAAGTTCTCAATGTGCGTAGGTCACAATACGGACGCCAATTAGAGCATGAATTGCATGTTTTTAGTAATATCATCATCATCATTACAGCCTTTCACAAGTCCACTGCTGAACATAGGCCTCCCTCAAGTAATGTCACAAAGCACGATCCTGAGCCCCCTGCATCCATCGACTTCCTGCATATCTTACCAGGTCGTCACTCCATCTAGTGGGGGGTCGCCCTACACTACGCCTACCGGTACGAGGCTGCCACTCGAGAACCTTTCTTCCCCATCGGTTATCGGTTCTTCGAGCTATATGGCCAGCCCATTGCCACTTCAGCTTACTAATCCGTTGGGCTATGTCGGTCACTCTGGTTTTACTGCGGATATCCTCATTTCTGAGTCTATCACGCAGAGAAACTTCCAGCATAGCCCTCTCCATAGCTCGCTGAGCGACCTTGAGCGTCCTCATACGGCCAGCAGTGAATCATCAGTCATCACTGGCAACACGCACTGGTTGTACAACTTAGTTTTCAGAGATTGAGGTATACCTGACGAGAAGATGTGTCGTAATTTCCCGAACGCTGCACAGCCGAGTTGAATCCGTAGTTTGACCTCTCGGTCGAAGTTGGACTTACCTAGACGGACTATTTGTCCCAGGTAAACGTACTCGTCAACAACTTCGAGCATAGTGCTCCCAACAACTGCCGGCATAGGTGTGACATGGACATTAAACATGATCTTTGTTTTGTCCATGTTCATCTTAAGACCCATCCGTTGGGAGACAACATTGAGGTCATTGAGCATAGTGCTTAGGTCCTCCAGCGGTTCTGCCATAAGGACTATATCATCGGCAAATCGAAGGTGAGTGATGTAATCGCCATCGATGTTAATACCGTATCATTTCCAGTCCAGTAGCTTGAAAACGTCTTCCAATGCAGCGGTGAAGAGTTTCGGGGAAATAACGTCACCCTGTCTTACACCTCTCTGCAGTTGAATAGGTTTCGAGCTCTGGTTCTGTACTCGGATAGCCATCGTAGCCCTACTGTACAAACACTTCAGCACTTCGATATACCGACAGTCAACTTGGCACCGCTGAAGGGACTGTAGCACCGCCCAAATTTCGACGGAATCAAAGGCTTTCTCATAGTCCACATATGCCAGGCAAAGTGGCAGTGTACTCTTCAGACTTCTGTACAATCTGCCGCAGGGTATGTATGTGCTCTATGGTACTGAAGCCTTTTCGGAAACCGGCTTGTTCGGGAGGCTGGAAGTCGTCGAGTCTGCGTGCGAGACGATTCGTAATGACTCTCCAAAACAGCACGTAGACGCGGCTCAGAAGGGAAATCAGTCGGTAGTTCTTCAAGAGAGCATTATCGCCTTTCTTAAAGAACAAGAACACCGCACATCTACTCCACGCCTCCGGAGTAGTGCAACCATGGAGGATGGAATTGAAGAGCTTCTGAAGGACTACAAGTACCAGTGTTCCACCCGCTTTCAAAAGCTACGCTGTAATTCCATCCTCGCCTGGGGCCCTGCCGTTTTTAAGGTGCTGGAGAGCCATTCTAATCTCGCTCAGACTGACGTCCGGTATATCATCGGATTGGTGTCGGATAAGACTTGCTCTTGGATCGTTACTCACACTTGCGTGTGGCTCCAACGATGATGTGTACAGCTGCCCATAAAACCTCTCAATCTCACTCAAAATCTCAGGTGTCCCGGAAACGATGCTGCCACACTCAGTCTTCAGCTTCGACAGATGGCTCTTTCTGGCATACAGATCTCTGGAAAAGACTTTGGAGCTCTGGTTCCACTCGATCGCTTCTTTAATACGAGCAGTATTAAAGTTGCGTAAGTCTCGCCGCAAACATTTGGAGATGTCTGTTCAGTTGCCTGTATGCTGTCAAATCTGTTGACGATTGCAGCCTCATCTCCCGTCTGATAGCCATGAGATTAAGAGTGTGATCGGAGAGTTTTTGTGTTCTTCTGCGGCGGGTCTTGCAGAACTTAGCTCCGACCGCATGGACAGTTTCCACGTGCTTGTCATTCATATCGTCCACTGCATTGCAATCTTCTAGGCACTGAAAGCGGTTACGTAACTCGAGCTGAAAGGTTTCGGAATTCTGGTTTAGAGCACGAGGGGGACGGAGCATTGACTTTATTAGACGAGACCTCTCCAACTTAACGTTTAGGTTCAGTGTGCCTCTAACCATTCGGTGATCGCTGCCAGTTTTCACCCTTGGGATCACTGAACAGTTGGCGTCTGGTCGTCATAATGAAGTCAATCTCGTTTTTTGTCGAACCGTCGGGGCTCGACCAGGTCCACTTTCTGTGGGGCCGCTGGAAGAAAGAGTTCATCATAAAAAGTCCCTCTTTCTCTATGAAGTAATATAGCGTCCAATATTTATAACAACAAACACAAACAAATTGTATTTCAACTAACTGCAAAACAAACATAATATCATAATTTAACAAAAATAGCCTTTCACAAAAATGAGTCTAGTTAAATAGAGTAATTTTGTACAGATTAGGTAAATAGTTCACACTCATCCTTAAGATAGTGATCATATAAAGTGAACTCGCAGTGAGAGCACCAAAACTCAATATAATAAAATATAATAAAAAAAATATTTTGTTTTAAATTATATTTTCGGAATTATTCATGTCAGCAACAATACGCCACGGTCTATTGTAGAAAATAACAACCCATTGAAGGTTAAGGGGGATATAGTAACTCAGCTCAAATTCTAATTTCCGCCCCACTTCCCCGCGCGTCGTATGCTATGTACCAACATGTTTGTAATCACTAATACTGTAAGTAGAAAGGTCGTTAGATACTTATTTCATTAGGTTTATCATATTTATGCCTGTTTCTTAACGCCAACCCAGTCGCTTCTTATTTTTATTACGGTTATTTCCCATTTTAATTTTACGTAGTCCTGTTTCGTAAAGTGTATTCTGATCGTAAGCGACACAAATTCTCCCTTCAAAAGTTGGAGCGATAATAACGGGGCGACAGGAATCAAGCTTACGCGCCGATAGTTTAGGTAATTTCTTTTTACTGTGAAAATAATGGTATTTTAAAAAAATTAAATAACATAAGCACTGCTTTATAGTTAGTTTAGTTAGTATGCAAAGTTTCATGATCTTATTTAAAGTATTTTATGAATAACAGCGGTAACTGGATTTGTTTTCTATCGAGAAAATTTTACGGAATTGTGTTTTCGTCTAACATAGTCCTTAACATTAATCCTCAACTTTACTACATATTAATTTCAAAATTAATGCTGTAGTATTTTCGGCATAACGGAGGATCTTGCTATAAGCCATTTGAGGTTATATTTCCCCTTAATGCAGTAAAACCTCATATTAAAATGAGTTTCTTCCTAAGGTCATATTAGGTATTTGTCACAATATAAGAAAACGAACTTCTATTAAACCTGTCAATATCTACAATTAGTACTTATTTACAATAGTAAAATAAATAATAACATAGTCAACCTATAATGTATCACGGCTGGGTAATCCCAGATATTTTTTCGTATTTACTAAATGAATAACTAGTTGGTAAATTAATCATGATATCTATCTGTTTTTTTTTCGCCGGAGACAAAAATGATATTTCGTATTTTTCGTAACTGCACATTCTGTGGATTTATTTCATTATTTTGAACAATATACAAAACTTAAGTGACTAAAATTAAATCTAATCTGAACCAGAATCATAAAAACTGTATTATTTGTGCTAAACGAATCTAATAAAGATCTGTTATTTTTGTCTCCTGCGAAAAAAACAGACTATAGGAATCTATCGAATACCTACATTAACAAAATATCACCTATAAATAAATTATTACAAAGCGGAATAACTAATAAGAGTGGACGCTACAATAATGCGAAATGAAAGGACGTAGAATCAATATTATTATATATATATATATATATATATATATATATATATATATATATATATATATATATATATATATATATATATATATTTATGTCAACATTATAGATTTTCAACATTAGTTTTACGAAATGTATGTGAACGTGATGGTTATGTGAGTTCAATATTCTGTCCCTGTCATTCCAAAAGTGCCTAACCTACTTCAATATAAATAAAATGAGAACATCATCAATGTAGTTGAAGTAAATTTACGCATTATTAAGAATAACTCAACAACTACCGGTCAGACCTTGATCATATTTATATGGGCCACATGAGAAGCACCAGCTTTTAAATAAAAAAAAAAAAAAGAATCATCAAAATCGATTCATCTAGAAGAAGTTCAGATGTAACATATAAAAAAAAATTTAGTCGGTTGAAAAAACAAAAGCATGATGCTTTTAAATATGTACCAGGTGCCCGTTGTAGCTCGGGCAGGATGTGGTGCGCGGCGAAGCTGGCCAGGTCGACGAGCGGAGAGGCGCGCGTGACGCCGGCCGCTTGCGTGCCGCCGCGCGCCACCAGCGACGTCACCAGGAACAGCGCCGCGTCCTTGCCGCGCCACGCCGCACCACCGCATTCTTGGTATTTTGCCAGCATCACCTGTATATTCAAATCTATGTTATTTCATTACAGCCCTTGACAAGTCCACTGCTGAACATAGGCCACCCCCAATGAATTTATTTATTTATAAGGTACACCAACAGCAAAACACATGAAACATTAACAACAACACAATAACAAATGTATATGGTTAAATATGTTTGCCAATTACAGGTATATACAACATTTACCGTAATGTGTAGCTTATTATATTATAATGGTACTGAATATAAAATAACTTATATTAAGAAAAAACTAACTAAGGAATGAGTGTGTACTGAGAGGGTGAAAAGAAATTGGTCAATTATTTTTTGAAGCATCGGGCAGAGTCGTTGAAAATGTCGATGTCCGGTATCTTGGTCATAATTTCATTGTATATGTTACATATTCTGGCTAGGGGATCATGCGCGCCTAAATTTGTTTTGTGGCAAGGTATGGTATATAGTTTAGCAAGGTATGCTAAATAGTTTTAAAAGGAAAGCCACAAAGTAGAGTCCTGAGCCACCTGCATCCATCGACTTCCTGCAAGTCTTTCCAGTTCGTCACACCATCTAGTGGGGGGCCGCCCTACACTTCGCCTACCCGTAAAGGCTGCCACACGAGAATCTTTCTTCCCCATCGGCTGTCGGTTCTTCGAGCTATATAGCCAATTCATTGCCACTTCAGTTTACATCCTTAATAATTACTATTGGGCTATATCAGTTACTTGGGTTATACTGCTGTTATCCTCATTTTTCAGTATATCACGCACAGAAACCTCACTTTCTCGCACGGCCAGCAGTGAAGGACCCACATCTCAGATCCGTATATCATCACTGGCAACACCACTTTCGAACTATCAGATACCACCCACATAACTCATAAAATTATTACAATTACACACTTGAATATTATGCCTACGATAATGCTACCTGAATAGCAGCACGACTTATGACAATGCGTTTTAGATGCTTTGATTTTAAATGACTTGCAGTGTTTAATAATTTCAACCTTCAGGAATTCAGTCTTAGTTGCTGCCACCCATATCGGAATACAATATCGCAGGACAAATTGTACAAATTATAAGTAATTTTGTTTTATTACATAAACCTAAATATATAACTAACATAAAAATATTCCCACTACGGGATGGGTGTAAATACACATATATTATTAAACACACCTGCACATACTGCCCAAAGATATTCATCATCTTGTCTTCATAATGCTGCGCAAGAGTCTTAACAAGGTCGCAGGCGGCTCGTCTACGTGTATCTACGTCCGAGCCTTCCATATCACGCCTTACATACTCCTCCGGGTTATCCTCGAACAACTCCATATCCGATTCTGAAAATTTTAAAACACTCGTTTCATAAGACATTTTTTATGGCATGTCAACAGTGTAGGATTTACCATGTGGTGATCACAGGTAGGGCTTACTACCTTTCAATATTCGTTTTATTCGAATATTCACCTCATATACTATTCGAATAATATGTAGAGTAATATTCGAATATTTCGAATTTTTCGAATATAGTGATAAATAGAATTTAATAATAAACATATTTCAGAACATTTTTCAGCCGTAGTAATTCAAATATTGGAAGATCTTTCCAACTAGCTGAGCATAATAAAGGCAACAGTTGAAGCACTTTGCGAATATAAGGCAAATCTATTAACATGTGAAACAGCCCTAAAGTTTATGATAACGAAGCTTACGGAAAGAAATAGCACAATAAGCCGTGAACTAGCTGAATCAATAGAAACTCGCATATCGCAAAGAAGATCTTTAGAACTGACAGGGACTTAGGGTTTAAAAAATGTACATTATTTAAATGTAGATTTTATCATGCCTATTAGCCTCATTGGAGGGCATATAATTTTTTGTTAACGATTCCTCCAACAAGTGTAGAATCTGAAAGAGTGTTTTCATCATGTAGTATGACATGCAGCTACCTTCGTAGCGCCTTAAATGATGACACTACAGACTGCCTTTAATTTCTTAGGTCATATTATCAAAGCAAGAAGTATTGATTAATAACTTTTTGATAAACTTTACTTTTCATTTGTAAAATATTTCTTACCTCTTATTCATAAGTGCATAGGTATATTGCAGTCATTTTTTTTATTTCTTTATTTTGAAGTCTTATTTTTTGGTTTGGTATAAGAAGTCGATTTTATTGTAATTTTAAAATGTTAACTGTGTGTGTGAATAATAATAGAAGAATTTGTTTCATTTATGTCTCATAGAAGAAAAATATGTAGAAGTTGATTAAATAGTTTTTTCTCTTAAATTCAACATACAAGAGAAACAGATTTGTTATTATTTTTGTTACGTCTGATAGTGAGTGATTTATTATAGTGATTATTATTATAAAAATAAATATGCATTATGTATATTTATTTTTATAAATATTTAAAAAAAATGTTGTTCACTTTGATTATATGACAGGTATATAATCAAAGATTGTTCGTCCTATTTTTCTTTTGAAACTCTACCTAGGTGTCAATAAAACATGCACGAAGTATGTGCTATATGTAAGTTAAATGACATGTTGTTGCTTAAGTAGAAAACATTCGAAAAATTCGTAATATTCGAATAGTAAAATTGAACGAATAATGCAAGCCCTAATCACAGGACATTGCTCTTTGAACAAACATTCGTTTACCATAGGTGTTACTGATAGCCCCCTGTGCAGGGCATGTATGGGAGAGGAAGAAACGGCAGCTCACGTGTTGCTGACATGTCCAGAAGTCGTTTCATACAGGGCTAAACATCTCGGGACGCCGGGATCGCTCCCCGAAGTTGCTTGCAACATCAAAGGACTGTTGAACTTCTTCGAGGAAATATCATGGCTCGAATAACCACATTATTCCTGCCCACACGCAAAATACGCGCTTAGACGTGGAGTTGCGAAAAACAGCCCGTCGTAAACTAAACTAAACTACCATGTGTTGATGGTGTTAGAATAACCACTACCCCATATCGCTCCCTTGAGGGAAACAGCCGACAGAGGGAAATAAACCAGGAGGTTCTCAGCAGTCCTCCTAATAACTAAAAAAATTAAAAGCTGACCCGCCTGCCAAGCGTGGCAACTATGGCAAATATCCTTTCTATGAGGCAATCTATTGGGAAGCCTATTTTCAGCAAGTGGACTTTTAATAGGCTGTAACGGTAATGGTGATTGTTAAAACAAAAGATAGATAAGAGGGGGTAAACGAGCATGCGGTTCACCTGATTGTAAATCACTACCGCCGCCTATGAACAACTGCAACACCACGGGAATTGCAGCCCTTTAGAAGGGAGTAAGCTTTTTTATTGAAGGCCCCTAAATCGTATTGGTCCGGTAAAATCACCGGTGGCAAACAATTCCACAGAGAAGTTGCACGAAGAAGAAAACTCGTAGTAAAACGCACAGTGGTGGACCGTCAAGCATTCAGATGGTGAGGATGGTATCGTGAATTTTGACGCGATGTGCGTTCGTGAAATTTGGCGGCTGGAATTAATCCGAACAATTCCTCAGAGCGCTCCCCACTTTCTACACATATATAGTCATTGTATTTATAAGGCTTTTAAATTAACTTCTGCATACAGACACGAGTAATAGAATTGCTCTGTTTATTTATAAATTGCAATTTTAAGTGAGCCCAATGAATTAGTAGATTGAAGTGGTATTGGGTCGACCATATAGCTCGAAGAACCAACAACTGATGGGAATGAAAGGTTCTCGAGCGGTAACATCATACCGGTAGGCGAAGTGTAGGGCAGCCCCCAACTTGATGAAGTGACGACCTGGTAAGACATGCAGGAAATCAATGGATGCAGGTGGCTCAGGACAGTGCTTTGCGGCATTCCTTCGGGAGGCCTATCAGCAGTGAACTTAATGATGTAAGCACTCAGCGGTGATAGAATTCATTGTGTGGCAACCTGCACGTCTAAAAAATAAAATATTTCCGAGGATATTTGACATCAGCTGACACGAACTGGAGAATTGTGGCGAATTAATAATAGCTCTATAATTCCGTCTGAAATGACATGAGGCCTGTCTCTATTTTCTGGATGTTAGCGCTGTTAGTCTATACGACTCTTACAGCTTCATCTGACTCAGGGCTCGCGGCCTGCAAGACCGCGAGCTAATTAAAAAAAGGGAAAGGCAATGAGGTAAGGATGATGATGAGTGGTTTATGACTTGGTATTGTTACCAATCATCATGTCGCCTTTTTAGGCGTTTTTTAAGCTATCTAACCGCAGTCCGAGGGGGGAGTGCGGAGCCCCGTCTCTGACTGCTCAGAGCTCTGCTGAGGCCTGTGCATAGCTGTGCGGGGTACATATACACATACACATAAAGCCTACAATTTACTTTTATTTTCCACTGACATGGATATTAAGGACTAGTAACATTTGAGATGATGAACAGAGTAAAAACTTGAAATGACAAAACTGACAAAAATAAAAAAATAGTACCTCTAAACTCCATGTTTGGTATGACAACTTTTTCGCAAATGCTGCTTAGTGTTCCCGGGTCCTCAAATAAGTTCTTGTAGCTATTCTTTTCAGCTACCTTTGCAAGGAAAGTTAGGGCATTCGACACCAACTGAAAAGTGAGACAAATATAAAACAAAATGGTAAAATAGTAACCAATTAGAATAAAAAGAAAGTGGATGCTGAGGCCCATAGACATCACATCTACATTTAACCTAAATTAAGAATCAAAATTCAGATGTATTGTCACCTCTGAGGACTAAGATGGAATGGCTAATTGCCAATAAAAATAGTCTCCGGTTCTCTACACTCACCATTAGAAACACAGCAGCATTAATCTGTTATTTCACATTGGTATTCTATGAATGTGATCGAGCCAACCCTTTTGTGCTACAACCACGATATAGCTAAAGTATGGCCCTACCAGCTAAGTTCTTCGCTGTAAAAATTAAAATACCCTTCTTATAAGCTACTACAATTTCAAAACAAAATACTTCTGGTAGGATAACCATGGGCAGCTAGCGACAGATGTTATATAAGTACAGCTATATTGTTACACCACACATTTTTATTTAGTAAATGCTGCAACCTACTTTTAGCCGCGCGTCGAGTGTATTTAAATTTACTTTTTTAATTGCAAACTGACAATCGGCAGTACGTCAACAACCGTCCTTCGAAACATCAACTACTCGAGGAAAGATTTGCCACTCTAACTTTATAACTATTTTATTTTTAATTAAACTTTTAACTTTGGTGATCTTTTCCTTTTGACGTGCTCATCAACTAACTACAACTCCACTTCTTAAAAGTGTGTGGCCTTACAGACCATATAACAGCCATATTGCTATAAAACGAAGGCAGCAGAGTTAGCACTTTGCCCACCATGAAGAATGTAGTTTTTTTTTTAACGTTTCAAATATCATATAGTTTGTTGTGTAAATAAGGCTTACCGCGTCATATTTTGCCTGTGGGCCAGTAGCCAACAAAACTGTCCACACGGCTGTGACAAAAGATGGCGCATGCGGGGCAAATTCTTCTTCGTACTTTAGTGCATACAAAGCCGCACATTCACATACTTCGGTTCGAAGCTGCTCCATAACTCCAGGCTTATTGTCTTCATCCTATAAGTGAGAGTTAAGTCCAGTAAAAAGTTACAGCCTATATACGTCCCACTGCTGGGCACAGGCCTCCCCTGATTTCTGAGAGGGTTTTAGGGCAAGGAAGTGTCCGCCGCGCTGCCCCAATGCGTGTTGACAAACTTCACATGTCTTCGAAATATTTTTTTTTCTTATTCCTCAGACATGCAGGTTTCCTCACGATGTTTTCCTTCACCGCCGAGCACGTGGTCAATCAGCACTTAAAATTGCAATTAACAATTTCATTGGTGCCGGCGGGGAACGAACCCGGGTTACTAGGATTAGTTAAGTTCAGTATTTTTCCCTAAATATACTGAAAAACTTTGGTGGCAACTATAGCAAATATCACCCTTATGATGCAATCTATGGTGCGTAAACATGTGTTACACAGCGCTAGTTCGCGTAATTGCGCCATCTTAGTTCACTACACCGGATAGGTTAAGGTTTTTAGGTTTTATAGATTACAAAACCAACATTTTGGCATATGATTTTTGAATATATGGATTGCATAAAAGGAAAACACGATATCATGTAATTTTCTCGATAGAAAAAAATTGCAAAGTAGGCTCTAATTAATTAATACATTACAATTAATACATTTCTCGATGACACCACAATATTCTTACGATTAATTTCATGGAATTATTTTAAGGCATAGTAAATAATCATTATATATAATCATATCTAAGTTCTCATAAACCAGTTTTTAATCCGTAACGTTTGTTAAAATAAATAAAAATTTTGTTTGGCGCTTACTTAGTTTTTTTCCCGAGCACTTGCTCGGTATGGCTATCTCATATTTTGCGTACTATGAAGTCAGTTCAGTTCAGTCAGAAGTATTATTCCCTCAGTCGTCCGTTAGCTTCACCGTCAAAGGAATAAGCCGCGCCCCCATCCGGCGCAGTGAACTCACTTCTTCAAAATGTGTTGGCGCACAGCACAGGGCCGTCATATTCGAAAGGTGTTAAGTTGTCGTTATTTTATATCATTTTTATATACCGCAACTCCGTAAAATGTAAAAGGAGTGATAGTGCAAAATATTAACCAAGACACAACTGTAGCATTGTTTCGCGTGTTTAAATACACGAAACCTAAAAGCTTTTATTTATAATATAACTTTTTAATGATGATGACACTGGGTGGACATCTGCATAACAAAAAAGTTCACGTCATTCCCAACGACATCTGACGGACTTTATAAATATTAGCTTCGATCAACAATACCAACTAGATAACGGGTCACGTACAAAATCATAGCTAAATACTGTCCGCATGAATATAAACTATGAAAGACATAAATTAAATAACATTTAGTATGAAATCAACCTTAATATCGTAACAAATAAAGTTCTTTTTTCCCGTTATTGCCTTGCGAGTTACACTCTCACGTGCAAGAGCTCACGTCTCATGTGCGCTCTTATTTACTGAGATGGATTTCTTGCGCCGACCCGACATCTAGTTGGTATTGTTGATCGAAGAATATTAGCTCTTCAAACTAGGTAAGATTGCCGTTCAATAATTGTAAAGGATTGAAATGAAATGAATTTAATGATTTTTATTCAATATAGATAATTGCATAATACTTATTGAAAGTATTTTTTTTTATTTACCACTGGTTCGGAAAAAACCTCTGTCCTCGAAAGAACCAGCGAGATACCCACTGGGAATTTTTTTAAACATATTTCACTTTACAATAATTTTGTTTGTACAATTTTGAAATCAATTTTTATAGAACCAGCACGATGGCAATCACCACATTCCCATTTATGTATCCTTTGATATTGTAATAACCTTTTTTGTACAATTTTTCTTTAATAAAACATTTAAATCTGTTTAATGATAAATTTTGTACGTTTTCTGGGATTTTGTTGTAAAAGTGTCATTCATAGGCGCAGTTCATTAATAGATACCCCTATAGTTCATTAATAGGGGTATCTATTAATGAATTACTAACTCTGTGGACTTCAGTAACTGGTATTACAAGCTTATGTTTGTTCCTAGTGTTTAAAGTATGAACATCTATTCTTATGAAAGTTATTTATGTACATACATTACATTATTGAAAATATTTACTCAATACTTACATCTGTTTCCAGACAGGGCACTTTAACTTGCAATAAATTAAGTAGGTTTGGCATCCAAATGGGCATATTATCTTCAAAGAATTCTGGTAGATCTTGATAGTTAAGAGAATAGAAAACTTTGCAAATCAACACTAGTGAACCATAGATTATTCGCAAGGCTTGTTGATTGTTCGCGTGTTTTGTTGTTAGGTCTATTGTGGCCTGAAAGAAATAAACAATGAAACTTCATATTTGTGGCAAAATACTCACTAAACATTTTCCAATTACTTTAGTAAGAAAAGACAACAATAAAATGTATATTTCACAATAACAAGTGATAAAATTTAAAATGTTGTACAACCAACTTCATAAATAAAATGAGAACATCCTTAATGCAGTGGAAGTCAACACTTAAACTGGGTCACGTTTTAAATGCAATACTCCATACAAAATGACTGTCACGGCATTCAAAGGCTTAAATACGCATTATTAAAGATAACTCAAAAACTACAGGTCAGATCATGATCAAATTTATATGGGACTACATAAAAAGCATCAGTTTTTAAATAAAAAAGTATCGTCGGGATAATAAAAATAAATTAAAGTTTAATTAAACGCGACAGAATCCGTAAATAATAGTTTTATTCAATAAAAAAGTATCATCAAAATGGGTTCACTTAGAAAAGAGTTCTGAGGTAACCACACATAAAAATAAATTAAGTCGAATTGTGAATGTTATCCTTTTTTTGAAGTCTGTTGAAAACAGACAAAAATCGCCCAACTACTTTTTAAATGCTAAATGAATTACTACATTATAAAATTTTAATTAGTATATCTAATATTTTATTTCATACATACCACAAATAAATCTGTAAGAGGCTTTGCAATGTTATCCAAGACGTGTTTGATCTCCTCCCATAGCTTCTGCGACTTGAATTCATACCTATACTTTTTAAACAGTGAATGTGCAGTTCTAAGTACACCGTTAATGACGTGGAAGTCACCTAAAACAAACAAATTAAGAAACAAATTTTAATTTATTCATTCATTTCCACCAATCAAAGTACTGCACTAAACTTAAGTATATAGGTATCCCCTATAGATAGGGCGGATATATTTTTTATAGAATAATGGTGCTCTTAGACATAAATATGCAGATTTGTTATCACCCCTGAGGACTAAGATGAAATGCCTTGTCTCCAGTAAAAGGGGTCTCCGGTTCTCCACACTCACCTTACAAAACATAAATTAACATAACAAAATAATTTAGGAACTAAAATTGCGTCTACTCAGCACAAATGTTATAGAAAACACATAGTGGTAATTATAACGCTGATTTTTAGTATACGTCAGAGATATAGGTACAATAGAATAAACTTTAAAAAAATTAAAATAAAAACTTTAACATTTATGAAAAAAGGGCACACAATTAAATTATTTTATGATACAAAGGTAGAATAAATGTAGATATTTACTGTAGTTGCCTACATCTTATTGGGTGTGGAGAAGAGATTTCAAATTTTGATGAATTTACTATATCATCTATCACCATCTTAGAAAAGAATAAAGTTTTGTGTGAAGCGCTAACAAAATTTTAATATTTAGCATTCTTGCAACATTTTTCCTAAAAATACAGAGTGATCATCATAAGTTAATAGAAAATTTTACCATCACACAGTGTAAAAACCATTGGTTAGTATGGACATATCTTTTTAATAATTTTTTTATAGGATTTATTTACATCCTATAAAAAAAACTTTTTAATAATTACTAAATAGTGATTTAAGGAGTTTTAGGATAAAAGGGCTATTTTGATATTTTTTGTAATCATGAACATATAAAAAACGCAGACTCAATTTTATTTTCCAACCTCGTGAAGCACCCAAATTAGGAGGGTCGCTTGTACAAGTGGACACACTATTTCACAACAATAATGAGCCGAGTGGGTGCATTTTTTTCCATATTATGGTTTTTGTATGACATAATGTTTGTAATAAAATAAAATTAATATGTTATTATTGCACCTATCTATTAGGCATGCGTCAGATATACCAAAACGAAATTAAAATCCGATTTTAAACATAAATGTATATGCATTGATTTCTCAAACTAAAAAATCCAATTTCAAAAATCGATTATAACTAAGCTAAACTCTTACGATCTCAAAAAAATCTGAATCGACAGTATCCAAATCGAAATGCAAACTGATGCGTAGAAATTCGTTTTCTGAGTTTCTCTCTTTCTAACCAAACATGAAATAGCGGAATGAAAAGGATGGTGTGAATTTTAGGATTTAGTTTTCGATTTGTCGGCTATGGAAATCTATTACACATTGAAATATGCGATCAATATTATCCTTACTTCTAAGTACTTAAAATCTATATTTGCTTTGTGAGATTATGCGTTGATAAGTTTTTGGTTCCGTGTTTGGGTTGGTGCTTACAAAAATCTTTGAAATATGCTAACAATATCATTCTTATTATTGAATTGTTAAGGACTATATTTGCGAGACTGTGTGATGACTTGTTTCTGTTTTTGGTTTAGTGTTTGCTTCATAGAATACTATAATACAAATAATGTATGTATTATAGTATTAATAGAAATATTCTTTTGTTTTCATGTCTTTTTCGTTAAGATGCAAATTTCACCTTGGTGACAAGTGCGCCGGTCAGATGTATCAGCGAATTACAGGATATTTACTGATGTTTATTGCCTGTTTGTTTGGGAGTTTAAAGTAAAGATAATAAAAATTTGTTAACTAAGTGAATTGTGTGCAAAGTGCTTAAGAAATATATTAAGAAATCATTGTAAATTTTTTCAATGAGCTGGAAGTTTTATTTTCATTAAAAAAACTTTTCTGTTAAATTAAGGTATGAAGGATAATCGCGCAAATCTGTTTTTGTGATACATTTGGGTTTGTCGTTTCGCTAACTTATAAAACGAAATCTAAGTACGAAAACGAATTGGCGTTGCTAAGCGCTACTATAATCGGATTTTTAAAAACGGATTTTGAAATCTGAAATCGGATACATATTGGTTTGTGTTCAAATCCAAAAACGCCCATGACTACTATCTATTCAAGCGATCAAAATGAATTATTTGATTGCAATTGAGTAACAATCCGTAAGTAACAATCTGTAAGTAACAATCAACAATAGATGATGAGCAGTTGTAATGTTGAAAGTGTAGTTATGTGTAATTCTTTTTCACTTTCTAAAGAAGATTTTGATGTTTCTCTCCAGGCTGTAATTCCATAGATAGAGCTAGATAGCTCCGTGGTCTACTGGCATTCGCTATGCCAGTGAGTTGGGGTGCCGAGGACTGCGGGTTAGAATCCCGTATGGATCAAGAATTTGTATGGCCTACGAACTATTGTTCCAGGTCGGGAAGTTTGTCCTTGAGAAATTTATGTCTGTAAACTGCCTCCACAATACAGGAGAAAATCCAGGTGTCCTAACATTTTAAAAAAAAGGTGATAAGGAAATGCAAGGCTAATAAATATCTTAATTTAATTTGGCACTTTAACGGTCGATTTCAGTTTGGTTCTAGAGCCAAATCAAATTAAGATATCTATATAGTATAATAACAATAATGTCCTCCAGACCGAATTTCGGTCACGGCGGCCAGCCTCAACGGAGGCTAGCCATCGGAGCAGGACAGGATTATAGTGCCCTATATTCTCTATTCCCTCATTCTCATAATCCGATGGGACGATAAACCGACACGACCGAAGAGAGATCAGGGCAGGACTAACGGCTTTACGTGCTTTCCGAGGCACGGGGGTGAGACACCGCCAACTTCCCATTTTCTTGACAGAAAAACTCAATAATTGTTTTTTTTCGGCCCGACCCGGAATTAGAACCCAGGACTTTACACACTTACAGTAGGGTTGTCGCACTACTACAACCACTAGACCAACAAGGTAGTCCTATATAGTATAAGTATGATATATTAAATCAGAGAATATTTCAAAGTAAATTACTTACCAGTACCAAACTTTTCAACCATTTCTGAAATGAGACCAGGCCATTTTTCAGGAAAATCGTATTTTCCAATTATTGAAACCGCATCACTAAATTGTCGCTGAACAGCTTCTGGTGACTTCAGCATTAATGAAACTATAAGACTCTTTATTGCAGCACGGTCTGTTGCATGAATGTTGTCAGCTCCATCCTCCTCCTAATGAAATATTTTTCAATTAAATACCTGTCTACAACCACGCAAATAAAATTCGATTTTGGAAACTTTTCAACTGCACATTAATATACAAAACTGATATCTAATCTTAATCTTGTATTGATTAAAACTAAGTTTACGGATTTTATTGCATTTAATTTTAATTGATTTTTTAATTCCCGACGTTTTGGGTGATTTCCAGCACCCATAGTCATGGGGGACTGAGGTGACTGACATCCCGATGTCAATGTTAATAAAATTAGATTTTGGGAACTTTTCAACTGCACATTATTTATATAATATACAAAACTGATATCTAATCTTCATCATCATCATCATTACAACCCTTCACAAGACTACTGCTGAACATAGGCCTCCCCCAAGTAATGCCACAAAGCACGGTCCTGAGCCACCTGCATCCATCGACTTCCTACATGTCTAACCAGGTCGTCACTCCATCTAGTGGGGGGTCGCCCTACACTACGCCCACCGGTACGAGGCTGCCACTCAAGAACCTTTCTTCTCCATCGGTTATCGGTTCTTCGAGCTATATGGCTGGCCCATTGCCACTTCAGCTTACTATTCCGTATAATAAATATCTAATCTTAATCTCTTATAATTCTGTTACTTTCTAATTTTAATTCTAGTACTCATAATTATTATAATAATATGTAAACAATAGAGTATTACCACAGGCCAATTCCTTTTAATATAATTTTTAAAAGCCACAGCTCCTGCTATTCGAATGGTTAGATCGACAGTGTCCTTATCAATCAGATGAAGCAGCAGGACTGCATAGTTTTGATTTACTTCCACACCTTCAAGGAATTTTTCAGCTGAAACATATATATATATTTATATATATATATTGTAGAAAATTAAGTAAGCCCAATGGTTACAACCTTAATTTGAAAAAAACCCAACTGTGTAAAAAAAAGTATTATAAAATGTTCTATTAAACAACCTATGTCACATCCACGACAAGACAAATTTAACCACACCATATATAGGATATTAAAATCCATCAAGCCTCTTAGTCTACAGAGTGTGCAAAAGAAATAGACATACATATATGTCTACTTGTTTGGCCTACATGCATGATAATATTTTTTGAGTGTATGAACACTGCGTAAAAACTACTACAACGTAAAAATATTATTGAATTAAATTAAAGAAAATAGAAGTATAATTCCGCCTCCAGGTCCTTCAAAAGAGTCATTACCAAGGCAAAGTCAGAGCACATAGGCAGAAGAGGGGAGAAACTAGTTCAACTTCCATCAGGAACATGTGCATTCTGGTCTCTCACCAAGGTCATCCAGGGGAATTTCTGTCAGCCATCTCTTCCATCTCTGCACAGGGAGGACGACACACTGGCCCATACCGCAAAGGAGAAAGCCGATCTTCTAGGCCCTTTCTTATGTCCAACTAGACTCTCAATGAGGGGGGAGTACGCCGCTGACCATCCCACGGTGTGAGTACTCCATGCCAGATGTGCTGTTTACCCAGCGCTCGGTGTGCAGAGCACTCCTCTACCTGGACATCAACCAAGTCAAGTAGGCCTGACATCCCTCCTATTGTGCTGAAGACGTGTGCTCTGGAGATGGCACCGGTTTTGACGCGTCTTTTCTGGTACTTCTACTCCCTAGGCGTAGTCCCGAAATCATGGAAGACAGCTTTTGGGCACCAGATCTCTAAAATAGGCGATCACTCAGATCTAACTACAGGTCTGTCGCTATCACCTCCATGTACTCCAAAATAATCTAGCCAGTACGGTTCCCATCAAGGTTACCTAACTCATAGATGGGCAGAGGCAGTAGAGTCCAAGAGGGAGGCGTTGGCTGAAGTTTGGACATAGCGAAGGCCTTCAATCAGGTTTGGCACAAAGTCTTTTTTCCAAGCTTCCTTCCTATGGACTTTCCGAGAAATTGTGCAATTAGATCACCAGTTCTCTTGCAGATCAAAGCATAAAGGTTGTAGTAGATGGTGCATGCTCCAAATACAAACTCATTAATGCTGGTGTTCCACAAGGCTGCGTGCTATTGCCAATGCTGTTTCTTCTGCAAATGAATGATATGTTGCAAATCGGTAACATTCATTGCTATGCGGATGACAACACTGGTAATGCTTTATACACCAGCAGTGCCAATATGTTTCGGCCAAACATTGCACAGCACCAGGACAAAGTGTCTGAACTCTAGACTTTGTTGAACAGTCTCGGATTGGGGTGACTAAATCTAAACCAGTTCAATCTCCAAAAGACACAAGTTTGCACATTTACTGCTAAAAAGAACCCTTGTCGTATCTCTTAAGTTTCAAGGCACTCCCCTTGTTGCCTTAGCCAGTATCAGAATCCTCGGCGTCGACATATCGAGTGACATGCAGTTTCGTTGTTACTAGGAAGAGAAGACCAAATTGGCCTCTAAAAAGCTTGGCGTGCTCAGCAGAACGGGACAGTATTTCCTGCCAGCACACCACCTGCAACTACAAGGGGCAGGTTAGGCTGCACATGGAATACTATTCCCAAAACTGTTCTGGGCTGGGGCTACCCAGTGCCAGCTCCTTCCATTGATGATTGATGATTATATACAGCTCAGAGTCGAGAATTGTCGGCGACCAAGCTCATTCTGATCAGCTTGACTCAATGGCACTTAGAAGAGATGTTGCATCTCTTTGCATATTTTATCGCACTTAGCATGAGTAGTGTTCTGAGGAATAGTTCTGACTAATTTTAGCCACAAAATTTCAGCATCGCACATTGTCACAAAACTCGGAATACCTCCATACCATCTGGATGACTGACGGTCCACCACTGTGCAATTTAAAAGTTTTCTTCCTTGCACAACTTCCTTGAGGAATCGACTAACACTAGATTTTTTAGGACCAATACAATTTAGGGACCTTCAAGAGCCATCTCCTTTTTAAAAGGCCAGCAATGCATCTGCAATTCCCTCAGTCTTGCAGTTGTTCATGGGTGGTAATCACTTACCATCAGGTGAGCCATATGCTCGTTTGCCCCCTCACCAATGAAAAAAAAAACACCTAAAATAGTATATTGCGGTCTCATTAACTGGACGCATCACTGGAATGCGAGGCCCCGCCCGCTCGCCCCTGCACTCTCTTAACTCGCCCGGCAATCGCCAGTATGGTTAGCAACTCTGTTACAATGTTGTAAATGACGTCATCAAAGCCATGCGTCAAGTTAATGTGACCGCGTTGTATCAACTAATAAGACATGTACAACTGCAACTGGATACTTTTTAACTGACTTCAAAATATAGGAGGTTATAAATTTGATTGTTTTTTTTATGTGTGTTACCTCAGAATTTTTGATGATTCTTTTTTCATTTGAAAGCTAGTGTTTCTCATGTGGTCCTAATATAAGTTTAATCAAGATCTGACCAGTAGTTTTTGAGTTATCCTTAACAATGCATATTTAATTGACAACATTAGTAATTAGTAGTATTAGTTTTCGGTTGTACAAATTTTTATATTTTAACACTTGTTAATATGTCAGAACATGAACCGGATAGCAAGATTGGTTTACAAACTCAGATTTCTCTTTATAATAATATTAAATAGGGCATTTGTTAAACAGCTCAATGAGTTGGAA